TTGGAAATCGGGTCTTCGGTCCTGAATGACGGTTTCCCAAAATTGCGCTTGCCCTACTAATCAAAAAGCAAATCTTATCAGAAACAATGAACACATGAGTATGAGTATATTCTTTAAACCTTCAACTCTCCATATTTCTGTGTTGTTCTGTGTTTAAGTTTCATTCACATTCGTCAATTAAAAGTTGTTTATGATTAAGGGAAATTATTTAATAATTATAATTGTTATTGTTAAATTAATGGTATAACTACAATTTTACATTATTTGAAATTTTCTGTTTTCGTTTGCAATTTTTTTAAACCAAAGCCAAAGGAATCTAACAAAATAAATGGTAATCCTATAAATATAAAACTAATAAATATAAAACATTTATAAAGTTTTTGTTTTTGTTTTTCCTTAATATTGTTGCCAAATGAGAATTTTTAGCCATCGACTTAAGTCATAACTGGCTTTATTTTCTAGATGTTTCTGGACTGGATTCTGGATTCAGTCTCACCGATTACTAGGTGGACACTTTTTCAACAAGTCATTAGAGAAGTGGGTTTTCAGCCTTATTCCGGTGACTTTTTCTCAATGAAAAGGTTTCTTAAAAGGTTTCAAGACTTATTGACCATGTTGTTTGAATTGGTTGGTCTAATACAATCACCATTTGTTCAACTCGATTAATCCATCACTTCATAAGCAATCACGAACTATTTTAAGCGCGTATTAACAATAAATTAACAAATAAATCTATTTGCAACTATTTGCAACAAAATTTTTTTCTGGAAGAGAGACATGCCTCACTTTCAGATTTTGTCCATCACTGAGTACATGTCTCCAACAATCACTGTGAAACAATGAACACTGCTCATCCAAAGTAAATATTTGACCAGGTAATTCCACGTTTTCAGGCTTGCTTACACCGTTATCGAAAAGGCAATTCAAATATTTATCGTTTGTATTAAGTTCCTGCAAATTCGTATTTCGTTGCGAAATAAAATGGAAAAAGGAAATTAGAAATTCATGACGAATGGATAAGCTACTAAAAAAAAATTCTTCAAATTTTTGCAAAATTTGTGAACATTGAGACAAAGTGAAAGATGATGAACTGTGGTGAAATTGCTTAACCTTTAAATTTGATTAAAAAGCAGAAAATTTCAAATTCATTTCAAATTCATTTCTTTCTGGTATTCACAAAATAAATTAAGAAGCTTTTTGACATTTCCATTGGAATGTTTTTTGCGATAAAGTTGTGCCTAAAATTATTTAAAATGCTGACTCACAGCTGTTTTTAGATAGAAATTTAAAAAAGTTGGAAAAAATTGGTAAAAAAATCTGTCGCAAAAAATTTAAGTGGTACCGCTAAATCAGTCGTCGCATTTCCAGTAACATCAAGTGAAAAAGAACCTATTTACTCATAACCCTTGGAGCCAGCTAAACCAGAAATGGCGAGATTTTGGCAGAAAAAAAGCAGATAGGAAATCACTCTTTTTCAACCACCTATATAGTATTAGATCTTAAAATAATTCTTTCTCCAAAATTTACATTGTTGGAAAATAACAATTGTAAAATAAAAAACTTCTTTTTCTTTTTATTTTATAAATAATTCATTTGGTGAAAAAAAGGTTAAAAAATTACTGGCGACTTCTCATTACTTCATAATGTGTAACTTTCATTTGATTTTTCGCGTCATGGTTGGATGTTGATAAAGAAGATTCAGCTAAAAAAAATTGGATTTTTTCTTGTCTAATTTTATAAAAAATTATAAAATGCTGGAGTATTTTTTTGTTAAATGTGATTTCAATATCATAATCAGAACTGAATTTTCGCTCACTTCTTGGCTAATTGGTGAATAATATATTCCTTTGCAATTTAAGCAACAACAACTGCAAACGATGCTATATCATAATCAGAACTGAATTTTGATGCTATATTCACATAAATGAAAAAATTTGACTGCAAAATGTTACCAATGAACGATTTTGCAACAGAAGAAAAGCCTACATTATTAATTACGACTGTTACAAACAGAAAAAGTTCACCATCAGCTGCAAGACCATATATTTTTTTGAAATACAGCCATAGGGCATCATCGACGAATACACCAAGTTCAATTGTCAATGGTTTCAATCTATATCATGACTATATAATTGAATAATTTTATAAATTTTGACTTTGCCTTTTTATGCAATATAAATTCAAGATATAGCTGGGTAGATGAGTGAATAGTGTTTTAGATTTTCGTATTAAGAGGCAAAAGTTCTTCTTCTCCGTTCTGACGTCAGTAAGCCTGTCATTGAAAAATCCGAGTGGTGTTACTCATTTTGTCGCTGATTGAACTCCTCAGCGAAAATTTCCGATTGTAATTTTTACTATGTTGGCTTTTCACGAATGAAAAAAGATGGCGATTTCAATGAATGAAAAACAGGGTGCCTAAAAATATCTAAAAGACCAATTTTTGAAAGATTGAATTTCAGCATCGGTGTTTCAAAATAAGAACGATTTATTCAATCCCAAGCTAAATTAATTCATCACAGCTTTCTAAAATTTACTGGAAGAGTCACAATAGAGTCACAAGTTGTAGACACTTTTACTATGCCATTGTCATGTGCTTCTATTAATAACATTGGCATAAAATATCATTAATAAGAAATAAAAAAAGAGATCAAAATAGAGAATAATACTTGTTGAATTTCGATGAATCCAAGGATGAATGAAAAGGATTTTTGAAATCTTAAATAACTTCTTCGACAAACAAAGAATGCACAAAATTTTAATAAAAGTCGCGCATTCATTTTCACAATATATTGGCACTAATGGATTATTTTTTCCTAATTATTATTGTTAATCATATTGACGAAATGACCTAAGTACAATGCCATGTCACCAAATGCTGGTGACTAAGATTTATTTTTTGAAAGTGCGATCCCGAAGCAAAACCAGTACTAAAGCTGCACTTCACATTACCTTTTCTTCTATGGTAAAAATCGGAGCAAACGTCACCGAACTTTTATTTCTATTTTAATAATTACTATCAAAACTATCACATATAGCTTTACTTCTTTTCAGATTCAACAGCGCCTTATAGCGATAAGAAAATATTTTTTCATCGATATAAAGAACCTTATAAAGAGAGTGCAAAAATGCCGCCAGATATTTACATTTCGCAAATCCTTAATAAGTGGATTCGCTTTCAGGCAAAAAAAGATTTAATTTTTTTATTAATATCTTTATTTATTTATTTATTTTAAGACCAAATGCTGATCAAATTTTCATTAAACAAGTTTCCACAATTAGTTTAGTGATAATGATCTTGATTTTAGATTTGTTTTGCAAATTTAATCAGTATCAGACTGGCTAACCAAATTATTTTTAGTATCTGAACTACTAAATTTGTTAATTCTCAAGTACTCATCAATATCTTATACAAACAAAATAAGTGAAATAATAGAAAAATAGAAATTTTTACCTAAAACTATGATTTCTTGTTACCAAAATTAAAACTGCTGATAAAATGTAAGTGGAAACGACTATTCAATGTTGAATGAATAAAGTAGTAGTCATCTTGAATGATCAATAGACCTTTCTGGAAGAAAGAAAGTTTTTTTGCAGATGATAATTCATTTTTCAGCCTCAATATCTCTACATAAGATAAAAAATGGTAGAACATCCATACCGTACGATTTCCATCCACATCCTGAGAGCGCGATTACTCCCTTTCGGTGAGATGTTTTGAGCGTTTAATGAATACTGGTTTGGTCGCAAATAATGGTACCTTCGCCGTAACCATCATGCCATTATAAATGAATGACATAACCACCTCATCTTTTAATTGTAATATTTTTTTATTCTTTCAATATCTACTCACAATCGCGAATATATTGTTTTTAATTACAAATAACGCCATGAAAAAATACTTTACTTTTTCTACTGCATGCCAATTCAAAACGAAGTTATCTGGATCCCCTTTATGCATAGAAAGCTGTGTAGAAAGCTTTTTAATAGCTTTTTAATAGCATTCTCACAAATCATTACGGCACTTTAACAATTGCACCAATTTTTTTCCAATTTAAGCAAAATTTAAGAAATTTAAGATATTTATTTTTCAAATTTGTCGAACCAGACCTTTCCTTTTGCGCTGAATATAATATATTCAGCCCTCAAAAATGTATAAAACCCCCGACATATAACACGACTGACACGACTGCGGTCCATGAACTGCAAATAAATTAAGAAAACGGTGGATAGGAACACAATGCATTGCATAGGAAATTCATATATAAGTAGTTAGGAAGACTAGTTTTTATCTATAAAATCATGAATCATGTTTTCCTTATCACTGCATTTGCTCAATGAATAAGCTCTCCAAAAAGAATTACGAAAAATTGCAAAATTACACAGATTCGAATAAAATGAAATTAAAAATAAAATATTGAATATAACATATGTCGCATAAGAGATAATCAGCAAGTAGATTACATAGAATTTAAAATGAATAAAAATGCCTTCCAATTATTATAATTTTTGAAATATTACCAAAGTGTATATTTCTCCAATGAATTTAGTACAAACATTAATCACAAAAATGACTTGCTAAATTAAAATCGTTCATCTTCAAAAATCTATCCCTAATTCAAACAAAAAAATGCATTAACAAAAAAACAATGCAATCAATCAAAAACGCCTTTTAATAATCATTCAATTTCGAAACGTTTGTTGCGGGCAGTTTGCAAATAAATAGAAAATACTCTTTAGTAGATGGTTTTTAAATTAAACATCGAAAACAAACAATAATACAAACAAACCTCTGAAAAATAATACAAACAAAACATTTGCAGTGGAAAGTTATCTACAATATCTAAAATGTATTAGCGTTCTTTAAACCCACTTAATTATCGATCTTAACAGTTCTCCTTCATTCCATTATTGAAAATGCCTAAATAACAGATAAGGAAAATAACAGATTTTTTGGAATTTTTTGAATGACACAAAGAATTTGCAGTTAAAATATCTCATATTCAACGAGTAACTTTCTTAGTCAGAATATAAGCACTATCGGGTTCAATTCTTTTATAATATTTTTCAGCAACTCCAACTATTTGAAATCCATGATGAGTATAAAACTTTACAGCAATATCATTGTTGATCTGAAAATTTTTTAAAATCGAAATGTTTCTTTATTTTCTCGCTCATTTTTTAAATGCAAAATATATAATGAATATATCAATAGTCAAATTAATACGAAATATGCTTAAAGAAAATAAAATCTAAATGCTAAACGAAAAAATAATTGCGAGCCGTATAATGTGCATAATTCACCAATTTATATTGAATCTAACAAAAGATTAGACCATATTATTTAATAAATGTTGAGTGGATTAGAAATAAACAAACCTGTACATGCAGATAGATGCTATCAATAGAATGATCTTTCTTACAAATGGAAAATACGTGATCCAACAAAAGAGTACCAATACCGAGTCCAAAATGAAAAAAATATATAATGAAATGTAGATATAATAATCCGAATAATTGTTCATTTAACAATCCCTATGATTCCCGAATAAATTATTCCTCTTTTTAACTTCTCAATCTCTGAAATATAGAATGGAATAATGCTTACCGACGATAGGGCGCGAGAGTACCGAGAGTCATAATATATAATTGATGTGCATCATTGTTTGCATCAATTCGACAACAAACAGCGCCGACGACAATATCGTTAAAATAGGCAAGTTTCGCAAGCTCACCAGCAGATACTATATCCTTATAGAACTTGTCATTATACGAAACAGGAAAAACTGCTTGATTCAACCGTCTTAACTGCTGCAATTCCATGAAATCAAATTGCAAAAGTTCCACAATTTGCCCCCCCTCTTACACTTTTTAGATGAATTTAAATAAATTTAGAGTAAAATTAACGTTAAGAAAGCTTATCATTAACCAAGAAAAAGTATGAACAAGTATGAACTAACTTCAACATTGTGGGGAGTTATATCACCTAACTCCATATCATAGCGCCCAATGCAGCGCGGCACCGAATCTATGTGTAAATCATTTAAGGACAAATTTTTCTCGACAATCCCAGCAAGTAAAGAAGTCATAATTTTTTGCGCAGCTAGTGTGAAAGCTGAAAACTCAGCACAGAATAAAAATTTTGCAGCAAACAACCACAAAAATTTTCTTACAATTTCCTTATTAGATCTTTGGAAGAAATCAAGCATTCTCGAACTGATCTGATGCACCTTCTATTAAGTGCTTAAAACAACAGTACTTATAGCCATTAATCTTGACAATAATACTGCAGTGTTTAATATTTAAATAGACTTCTACTAAATGTTTTTCTCAATAAGGACATAATTTTAGGGAGAAAAAAAAACCGAACTGAACATATTTTATAAGAGCAAAAAAATATCAGACAAAATCTCAAAATTATCAATTTGAATGTAAAATCTTTAATTTTCTAAAATTCATAAAACTGTCAACATAAACATAGATATGATATTCTGGAGTATACCCACGAAAATCTCGTAAAAACAATAATTTAAAGGTTTATTTAAAAGCAAAATGTCCGCTAAGGACGTAATTATTTCTTAGAAATTTAAAATTCAACATACAACAACAACATCAAATTTTTCCATCAAAAGGCTTCTCAAAAAAAATCGCAAATTTCAACAGAGGTAAATATTAAAATTCCATTTCATTTACATCTAATTAATAAATTAAAAGTGAATTAAAAAAACGAATTTTATTGTTTTAATGAATCAAACATCAGAAATTTCTCACAATTTTTAGAAATTATTATTCAGCCCAACAGACTAACAAAAAAGATATCCTAAAAAAATTAGTTATGAGAACATAAGAAAAATTAACATTGAAAAAAGAAACAAAAGAGAATGTAAATGTAAATAAAGCATTAAAATGATGTGAAAAGATATGATAAAAAGAAATTAAAATAAAATAAGGCTTCCGTCTGAGTTAATGATCTTATTAAAACGATTAAAGTGAGATACAGAAGAGGCAAATGATACTACAAGACAAATAATAAGGAAATCATAATTTTAAATCGCTTGGGTCACCACTGTTTACGAAAGAAATTGCATTCTTAATTTCGATAAAATATTTTTCTAAGAATGAATTAATGAATTAGATGAAACATTTTTAACTAAAAATAATTAAAACTCATGTTCCTTTCAAAATTAAACCATTTAAGGAGCAAAAAATGTCTACATTTGTATTCATTTAGCTGCAAAAGTTAACAGGAAAAAAACCCTTAAGAAATAGAAATATTGTCGCAGGATTCCTGTAGCATTTCAGAACACAGTTCACTCACTAATTCATTGATTATTTCTTCCTCATAAATTTTGAAATTCTGCCATTTATCTTGATTATCGTATAACTCTTCCATTACGATATTCTCTAGCAAATTATTTTGGCCTCGCGAAATGATTTCCCAACGTTTCTTTGTGGTAGAATTATTGTCTGAAATGAAATGAATTAAATTATTAGTAAGAAGTATTTTTTTATAGACATTCAACTCAATTTTCTGTAAAGGATAATGAATACACAAATTAAATCTTAAACCAATTTCAAAAACTTATTCAATCAATCTGGTAAATAAATAAATCTGGAATTTGAAGTAGTCGGATTTTTGAAAAAATAATTATGATAAATTGTAAAAAAATAGCAACCCCCAAAAAGTGGCGCAAGTATTTCACGTTCCAGTAAACAATGCAACTGAGCAGAATTTTTTGGACGAAAAGAAGCGTCACTATTTAACAGAAAACGATTCAAAGGCTTTTTCAACAATTTTGAGGATAATTCACAACAAAGATCTGCTATAAACTGCCTGGAAAAAAATTTTTTTGGTTTTTAAATAGATCAGGCGAAAATCGGTACAAAAATTTTTAATCTATAAAGCCATAAAACATTGCAATGTTCGAATTAATTCCATCTGATATCACAGCAGCTATTTTCGTAGAAGAAAGAAAACTGAAAAATTGTGCGAAAGCGCTAAGAAATTATTTGATACTCTAAATTACAAGTGCCTACCAGATAAGACTGAAGATGGTAATTTCTAATTATATACAAATTTTTAATTTTTAATTATAAACTATGTAAATATAGGCGAACCGATAAAGATCTCTCAAACAAACAATTAATACGAACAATTATAGTGATTTAAAACACAAAAATATTCTCATTAAGGAAAAAAATTGATAAGAAAAACATAAAAACTTTTACCTGTATTCCAGTCTATAGTTATCTTCATCTTCTTCCTTATTTTCCACTTTGATGATTAAGGATTGCTCATTTTCAATAAGATTCCAAATTTTTGCAGCAAAAACTGTGATTAACTCCTTGATTTCTTGTTTGCTATGTATATAAAATCTACAAAAGTTGTAGTCATTTAATTTCTCATTAAATGAATATTCACGATATAAAGTACATACATATCGACGAATGACGAAGTTGCATTGGTTAACGACGATAATCCGCTATTTAACAAATTTTCTTTACTATCAATATCCTTTTGATACGGAGAAGAAGAAGATATTCGTTCAGATGTGCTGACTTCGCTTAAATCCAATCCAGGAATGCAAAAAAGATCTTGAGGCTAAAAAATACAGAAAACAACGGAGAAAATCTAGTTTAAATTTAAGAGTATAAATTAAAGAAATTATTCTATAAATTATTCTAAATAATAAATAAGAAAAAAAACTTAAAATCATTTACTTTAGATATTTTATTCAAATCCAAGCTCTCATCCAAGGAAATGATGCTGAGCGAGCAATCCGAGCTTTGTTTACCAGAAGTGCATAAATTTTCAAATTTCTCCGACCGATTTTCAACTTTACTGAACCGATTTAAATCCTCATTGGTTATTTCACCTTCCTTGATAAATGAAGCTTCTTGTATGAATGGAACCATAACATTAATCGATTCATTTAACAAATCATCAAGAATATTTCTTGCAACCAGCGATTTCGAAATACCAATATAATCTTGCTTAAAAAAAAAAAAACCTATTCAATCGAAATCATTGCACTGAATTTATTTAAATAAAATCAATATCGCCAAACCTCTTTTTCCACATCTTCTGAACGACTTCCCGCACTATCCAATGGCATCGACGCCGAATAACGAGAAGAAACTGGACGAAGAGGACTAAGAGGACTAACTGATATTTTAAACCGCCTCGGTTTTTCGTTAAGAATAGCAGATCTAGGCGACTTCTTCTAAAAGAATATTCATAAATCACCCAAACAACTATCTTCGTCTTACAATATTTTTACCATATTCCAAAAATTATAAAATCAAAATTGATTTCTTAAATGATTAACTATTTGGGTGATTAATTTCCCAAAGGGAAATATTTGATCTCAAAGAATTACTTGTAAATTTATATCGTTGATATTTCCATGAGATGAATTTTGTACCAGAAAAGAAGAGCGAGTCATAGATATATCTTAAATGGTTTCACTAGAAATTGTTGTCGTCGATTAATACAAATTAAGAAGAAAAAAAAATTAATTTTAAAAACTAAATTATTAAGCCTAAGTTCCTCTTCAATTTTTTACACAGCAGAACAATCGAAAAAAATCAACTTGTCAACAAAAAGTCGAAATTCATAAATTCACAGCAAAATTAGAAAAGAATACAATAAGATAAAAATAGAGCAAAAGAACTTACTACTGGAAAGTTGAATAACGGATCCCAATAATGGATCTGGATCAATGGAATCATATGGAATGATACTGGGATGACTTTTTTTTTGACCTTGAATTTCTCGAGCCGATTTTTCGTTGCCAATTAGTTCCATGCTATTCACACTCCATATCATCGATTTTTCAGTTTCCAGTGGATAGAATTTATTCGACGTATACAATTCACTGATTTCACTAATATCTTTCATTTCTTCTCCCACTTTTGCACCAATATCAACTAAAGCATTTCCCGATGAAATTGCACTATTGCAGTTATTCGCTGGACTTTTATGAAACAAAGATTCATTGTTATCCAATACTTCATTTTCTTTCAAATCAGCAATATTAGCATTTTTTTGATCAAATAATTCTTCTGCAGAATATAGATATTCATGCAATATGGAAGAAATGACATCATCATCGCCATAACATGTATTATTACCTAAATTATTAATGTTTCCAACGTCACTGACTGCAGTTACTTGCTGCACTTTTGATTCTTGTTTATTGCTTTTTATTAAATTTCTTAAATAAGGCTCACGACCTGATTCACTTCTTTCATACTCTGATAAACTGCAATTATCGTTCTTCCTACTATCATTCATATAACTTTTTGAGTTATTATCCTTGAGGCTCCTTGATGCACCAGATTTATTATCAACAATATCGTTGGCAAATTCACTTTCACCCACACAAGCAATAAAAGCTATTGTTTTTTTTGATTTTTCGTTCTCTATCAAGTCGGTTATATTATTTTGTTCTACTTCCAGGAAAGAAGGATGAACAGCATCCGCTGTTCCAATGGCTGAGCCAGATGAATTTGCTTTTGGAGCCGAATACTTCTCGGAATCGAAAGTCGCATTGCCAGAAGAAACACTTGCAGCATATGAAGCTATCACAGAAGAAGATATTTCAGATATCGTTCGAACATCATGTTCTGGTTCAATATCGCTTTTAAATTTATTTATGTTCGACTGATTAAGTAAATCACAATTCGAGCGATTCTGCGAAGTATCCACGTAATGAGAATTTCTCTGAACAAGATCTAATGTTTTTTCTCCAACAGAATTTGTAAGAAATATTTCTGTAATTCCAAAATCTGCAGCAGTATCTACAGGTGGCAAAGTTGGTGTTAATACTTTTTGCGGTATGACTGAAGAATCAAATTCCACAAATGGAACTTGCTCATCATTGACGGAAACATCCACTGACAAGACTGACAAATTATCCACACCTAAAATGCAATAACAATTTCAAGTCCATAATTTAAATTTGATAAAAATACCGTAAGACGTATAAAGAAGCACAACTTAAACAACGATAGAGAAAAGATAAAAAGAATGAAAACTGTAAATGATCTTACGCTGCAAATATAATAAATTACAGATTAAATCTAAAGAAATATTCTAATGAAGAAAAAAAAATCAACATACCGATCGATTGGTTTATGATGTCATAATCTTCATTTCGATCTAATTTATTTAGCCTGAAAATGTCGGCCGCAGTTTCTGTAATATATTGTTCATGCGCAGCAATCTGAGCGATGATTGACTGTTCTTCACTAAAAATCAAACACACCACATATATCGAAAAAACCAACAAATGGCTAAGCCTTTTAATTTATTAATATTCTTAATGGAAAAAATATCTTACCAAATATAATGGTCCTTTTTCTTATATATATCAAAATTTTTTCAAAGGATCTTAAAAAAAATTAATAATTGCCAACTTGAATGAAAGTTCGCGAGTTCTTTTATCGATAGTTTCACGAAGTTCAGCAGCCTTCTTGCGCTTTTCCTGTAGTCTCATTTTTAATGTTTTGATGTTTCCTCGAGAAATAGTATCTAAAATAGCTTCAATCTCAAAGCATCAAATTAAATTTAATGGAAAAGAAATAAGCAAACACGAACCAGATGAATCAACATCGTCTTTAACGTCCATTCCTTTAATAATTTTCGATGATTGTTCTTGCAAGGGAAATGACCTCGAAGTACCACTACATTGAACTCCTATAAAGTATTGTTGGAATAGTGAATTAATTGAATGAATTTCTTCTTTCAATTAATTAATAAACAAAATTCATATCCTTCACGCATAATCATTGATTAATTACGATAAAATAATCATTAATTTAAGAAAAAAATAGAAAATTCACAAATTTTATAGCATAACTCAACAAAAATTTTCTTCACTTCCTAATATTAAATATTATTATCCTAATATTAATTAATTAATCCAACAAAAAGAAATAAATACAACTTCAACTCTCAACTCTCTTTTCCAACTCTCTTAGCACAAAAAAATAACTTTTAAAAAAATTTAACAGCTAAACTTTTAAATGAATTTTGCCTTGATAAAAATATAAAAATAACCATCCAACCATTTAATGCCTTATAGTAAATCAAAATCACCGATATCTGAGTAACGATTCTTCAACTTTCTATCCATCTTTTCTAAAAATTCCGCTAATTGCTGCCTCTCCTTCACTTCTGTCAATACCGGTCGCTTTTTATACTTGCAGCGCTTGATACTTTCAAGTAATTTCGTATTGTTTTTGCCACTGAAAATGATCTCAATTCGATATTTTATTCTCAACTACAATATTATTACAACTACAATTTAAAATACTATAAAACTACAAATTCAAAAAAAAAAAGAAAAAACATACGTTAGTAAATAATACATCCGTCGTATTTTCATACAAAGTGAAAGAAGCTTTTTAGTTTCATGCATATTTCCACGACGAAATTCTTCCTGTAAAAGCATGAATCAAAACGATGATTGATAATTTCAATTTGACATTCCATTAGCAATTCATTATTTCCAAACTTTATGACCTTAATGAACTATAAATAGAAAATTATCAAAAAAAAACTTACGAAAGACAAATGATCTCCAAACATTCTACGGTATTTTATTTTTAATTTAAGACAAACATGTTCAATCTCTTCACCTTCCCTGCGAGCTTTCTCTGCGTCTTCAGGCCTACCTGCATTCACTAATGCCCTAAAAAAATAACATCCAAAAAGATGAAAGTGATAAATAGTATAAAATTGTGAATTTATGAAAATAAATTTGTATAAAATTTGAGGATGAACTAACTTCCTTAAAGCATAGAAATAAACAATAACATCACAATAATATTGTCTCAAAATATCTATGGTTCCCGCGAGAAGTCTCTGGCGCTCTAATTTCTCAGCTTTATGTATTTTCTTATAATTCAGTATTTTTAATTCCTCACATGATGATTGGCCGCTGCCTGTAACTGCAAATATTGAAGAGCATTAAAGATATGTTAATCTTAGGTATGAAACTCTCTCGTATTCTTATTTCAAATTTTACGAACAATAAATTACAAATTTTATTTCATAAAAATAAAAAATATCTCGCTCACTGATCTGAAAAATGGGGCTGACACGAACATCTGCAATATCTATGATAGAATCTTGATCACCAGACGATTTCTGAAAAAGTTTTACATGGAATATTATCAAAAACACATCGAAAAATTTAACCTAAAAAATTTGAAAACTTCCGAAATAAACTTTAAGAAATTTCGCAAATATCATGGTAGAGAATAAACATAATTAAGATGGATATAAAAATTTTTTTTTACTTAGCATTCACCATTACAGATTAGACTCGCTCCTCTGACTTGTCTGATTAGACAAATAAGCCAGGGAATCCCATGGCGATGGGTGAGTTGCCAGCAACACCCGCATATGTGATTTTTGGACAGGTTTACACTAGAATTTCAGCATCAACATTCCGAACAGAGTAGCAACTCACTGAGCCATTCTACTCTCCATCTGTTTCCCACCATTAGGCGACAGCTGGCAACAGCATCGCTTATCGCCTGATTTTTTTGCCACTAAAGCACTCACGCACTGGATATAAAATGCACAAGAAGGAATTTAAAGAAGAAATCAGTTTTCAGTTTTCAGGAATTCAGTTTTTTCCTCTTTAAAACATTTAAAAACATTATTAAGCATTTCATATCTGAAATTATACGAATAAATGGCTGAATATTCAACTTACAAATTGCATCCCCTTTTCGAAATGCTTAAGACTGGTTCTCGAACAGCTTTCCTTCCTCGCTGAAGCAACCGAATTAATATCTAGGTCAACGTTCTCATCAATTTCTAATGAAGGCACTTCATTTTTCCACTCCATCAAAGAAGTGGAATCCACAACATGAATATCTTTGCCACTTCCCTCCGTTTTGCCTAGAGTATTTCTTAACTGAATCTGTACCTGAAATTTATTTGTTCTCACTTAAAATAATTTCCACCAGATTAAACAAATAAATAAAATAGAATGAAAAATATAAAATATAACTTTTTACAATAAATTTCTCCTTACCAAATTTAAAAAAAAAAATGAAATTAAAACAAATTAAGGCCGAATTAAATTTAAAAAATTTGAAAATTAATCTGATTAATGAGGTAATTGAAATGGAAAACATTTCGACCAAATTTATATCGGTTAATAACATAAACTGCTGGTTCATACACTAATTTTAAAAAATCCCAGATAAAGCCAGATATACCCAATACGTTAATCGGTATGCTGAAAAGTTTGGGCATAAACAGTCAATTTAATTTGATTTAAGTTTAGAAATGACATTAATTGCCGGTACCTCAAAAGAGTAGTTAGATTGTGATATTTGGTTTTTTGATTTTTAAACGACCTTACGATTTAGCAGTTTTTTATAATTAATGTAATGTTTGCACATAGCAACTCAAAACATTGAACTGGAATTAAATAATACGCCTAACAGTTTAAGTAGTGTAGTTCACGCAAAAATAAAAGAAATGAAGTTGGAATCTCTAATGGAGAGAGATGATCGAAGAAGAATCAATGATCCAAAGGAATCCCATTACATCCAAAAATCCAGAATGGATGGAAAGTACCAGAGATTCCATTTGAGTTTAACTAAGTTCCACTAAACGAGTTAATTTCTAAAATAATATTTAACTTCATTCCATAATATTTTATTTTTTGTTCACTCAAAGGCAGAACTAAACTGGTTCATCATATTGAGACAGCAGAATCATCCAATGCATTAGATACTCTGCAGCAGTATTGTGCACAAAAAGAAAACCATTTATTTTCGAGAAAAGTCGAAAAAACTACATAGAATATGATTTCCAACTAATTTATAAGATATTAATAATTTCGAAACCATAACTCGTTGATTTGAAAACTAAACTCTAAACTCTATACTCTATTGAGATGAAGCAAAGGAGAAAATTTGAGCATGAGATATAGTGGAAACGGAGCACCAACCAAAAAACCAACGATGAAATCAAGTTCAGGAAGTAAATTCAGAAATAAAAAACGAACCATAAAACTGAAATACGTCGTTCTCCAATATATATGAAAGCTATCGATGTAAGAAATTGAGCTTTTTGACTGCGAGTGATTATAATGAATGCGAAAAAATCACTTTTCGAAATAGAATTCAAACTGTAGATTAGAGACTTCGCTTTTTTATTTGCCTAAGGCGAAAGCTCATATTTTATAGCACAAATACAGTAATGTTTCCAATCAATGACCATCGACATCTTTTGTGAGGAATTAAAATAAATCAGCAAATCAAAGCACAAAAAAGATTAACTAGCTGTTAACTAGCTGCATTAATTTGTTTCTATATTCTATTTGATAAATGTTCAATTATTCAAATTTGAGACCGAAAAGTTATTTTGATATACAAATTTCAAAAAAAATAAATTTCAAAAAATAAATAAAATAAACTAGGAATTTACAATAAGGAAGATAATTCAAACCTGCCACAGCCAAAAGAAACTTTTAATTTTGTATATGAACCAGCTTATTAAAAAGGAACTTTTTTTGATTCCTTTTTCTATCACATTCGTAAAAATTTTACTCATAAAGAAAAGATAAATTATTCTTATTCAGCATTCTTAATTAATTGAAAGTGAGCATTGTGAGCATCCTAGTAAAATAAAATATTTTATAAAAAGAAAAATACGAACCTTAGGGAGCAAAGTAGTAAAATTTTTTGCACCGGAAAATTTTTCTTCAATAAAATATTTTTCAAATTTGTTGCCTTCCGAAAATTTGGATGAACTATGATGTTCGTTCTGATTTATGAATTTTTGATGGTTTTTTGAAAGGTTTTTTTCATCTCTAACATAGGAAGACTGAGATGCATTTAGTACATCACCAGAAATATTAACAGATCGTATAAAATTATCAATTTGTTTTTCTTCCATATTACAACGTTCATCGAACGACTGATGCGAATGAACATCTAAATCGCTGGCTTCCGAACTAGCTTCTTTAAGGGATTTATTCTGATCCCTAATCAGTTCTCGATTTTTTTCATTTTCGTCATATTGCGTTTTATTCAATCTATCAGAAATGGTAGCAGATCGAATAAAACTTACGCATTCTCCCAAATCACCAGTGTGTTTAACAAACGATTGTGGAGAATGAATATTTAAATCGCTAATTTCCCATGTACCAGTTGATTTATTTAACATGCTTTCACCTGTAATCACTTGATCATCTTTCGAGAGATTTTTTTCATTATTTAAAATAAACTGTGACTGTGACTTATTCAATAATTCATCAGATATGTTAATACTGCGAATGAAATCCCTAGTTTCCTTCACATGTTCTCGCATATTATCAATGCGCTCACCGAAGGACTGATGAGCAGACAATCGTCCACCAAATAAACTTCCACGAAAAGCACCACCAATCTGAAGAATAAAATAAACTGTTTTGTGATAATAAACTACTAATTAATGTATTTAACTTGAAAAAAAAAAACAAATAATTGAACAAATTCATTTAAATAGGAAAGAGAGAGGTATAAGCGATATAAGCGTATAAGCGATCATTTCGTTATTATATATTGCATTATGTTGTTATCGATCACACCTTGGAAGCGTCTTAGTCTTGTAGCCGTTGAAACCAGCCTAACCAGTAATGGTGAGAGTTATTAAAAGAAGAAGTTGTTAACGATCGATAATTATTTTGTAATATTGAAGATTTTATAATAATTTTAAATTATCAATTTTAAAATAAAACTAAATAGTATAAAATAAAACTAATAGTATATACACTGGTTGACGCATATAGTGCTGCCATGCGATGGATGGCGCCAAAAGCGAAAAGAACTAAAAAATTAGCTTCCAACTATCAAAAGAAGCTCGGCAATGTTTGGACTGGACTTAAATGGTGGAAAAAGGAGTGGCTTTTCTTACTCTCAAGTATAGCAATGGACTGAGCTTGGAAAAGATTTATGCTTGTGATTGGCAGAGTCGGCCTAATAATCAATGATGCGAGCTATTAGAAGAAATGGCTAAAAGAGAAAATATATTTCTTATATGCTATTTTCTCAAAAAAATTTATAAATAACCATAATTTGAGAAAAGTTTGCCTACCTTTTCAGAAGGACTATAATCCTTGTTAGAATACTGTGAGAGTTTACTGATAAAACACTTTGTTTTGCCATAAGCCACATCTGCAGATATTAAAGCAGTACGACATGAGAATGATGCATCCAAAAACTTCGTTGCACTATAAAATTTTAAAAATTGATTCTAAATGATTAAAAATTGAAAATAAAAATCAAAAAATGATGGATAAATGGAAAAATAACTATAATAATCCAAAATCATTCTTTTCAAATTACATATGTACATATATAAAAAATAAATTACGTAAAAAATCAATATTTTATGTAAAAATATATTAACCAATCGTTGCAGAATAAATTATAAATATAAATTTATAAACTGACCGATCCACATCATTTGAAAGCTCATCAAGTTTTTTAAAAGAATTGGTAACACTAACACCAATATTTGTCGAATCCTCAAATTTCTTTACTTCCTAAAAAGCAGAAAAATACAAGAATAATTAATGATTAATCAAAATGAAAACATTTGAAATAAATAAGAAATAAAAAAATTAAGAATTATCAAAAAATGCCTTAATTTGACTCGCTGACAGACTCTGCACTTGACCATATCCAAAAAATGGATCCATTAGTTGAAAAGGTGCTAAATGAAAAAAATCATTTATTTATTTTCATAATTAATAGATTTTTTCTGCCATATAAAGGAAATTTTGCATTAAAACGACTACCATTTGAATGACAAGAAAAGAATGATTGTTCATCGTCATCGAATTTGTTCTGATCATTCAAATAAGAGTTATAATTGCCACTGTTAAGACTCGCATTCTGTTTACCAGCATGTTTGAACGAACTATTTTTAAAAAAACGAATCTTTTAAGAATTGTAAAAGTTCTTTCGTTAATAATTTCGCAATTTCATCATTAATAAATTATAAAAAATTTATCTTCAAAATTTATCTTAAATTTTTTGATGAAATTTTATTCAATAATAATATAAGAGATAAAATGATACGTTATGTCCATACAATTGCAGATAAATTATCTTTTACTTAATCGATAAAAAAGAATGAAAATTGAAAAATTACCTATGAAAAATAGTAGACGGAAGATGAAGTGAATGAATAAATTTGTCCTCAATAAAATTTTTTTCATGAAGATTGTTATCTTTTGCAGAATCGCTTAAAACAATCCTTTGCCTAAGAAGCGAATCACTTTTTTTCATTTCAACTTTTCTCGAATTAACCACACATTTGTTCGTGAGTGACTTCCTTTTGGCGATGTGCTTAAAAAGTTTTTGTGTTTTCCTAACAAACTATTAGACTGAAAAATTTTTATTAAATATCTTCAAAAAGCAATTTGATCAAATACTTCCAAAAAATAATCTCAGTATCCAGACAGCAATCTTTTATTTATTTAAAATTGCCATTTTCCAGTAATTGCCATCTATGAATATTTTATTCATCTAAAATACCCCAAAATTAAAAAATTACCCCTATAGACGAATTTTTTTCATCGTCTGCAAAACACTGAAAATGAGAAGTGCCAACCATCATCTTATCATTGTTGTACATACATTTTTTATCTTGAAAATTTTCAGTCATATTTAAGTAAGAACTGCAATAACGACAGGTATTCAAGAAATGAGGTGAAATATTTCAAAAAAAAGAGTTATAAAAGAAATGAAGATAAGGAATAATAAAAAAATAAAAGAAAATTTTAACTATGTAAGAAAAAAAGCTTAAAATTAAATGTAAAGAAAATGTTTGTAAAGAATGAGATCACAGAAGAAAATTTTTCGATTTCAGTTTCCCAATTGGGAATCTTTTAAGATTTACAGCTGAATTTTTTTCATATACAAATATTTAATTAACTAACTAACATGCAAACCATTAAATAAATTAGCAGAAATATTAAAAATAATAGAATAAACCAGAATCTTCACTTTCATTTAATAAACCAAATGCACTTCTCGCAACTAATAATATTTTATAAAATGAATAATTTTCTGATAAAATTCAAAATAGATACTAACAACTGGGTGAAGCACGGATTTGTTCAATTTTTCGTGAAATATTCCTTTCAACTTTCGACCAACGCGAATTCTCCAGCTGATTACCTTCCAAATTTATAGGAACTGATGCATTTTTTTCAATACAGTAACTTTCCTTATTTTTTCCACGAATACCAACTAAAAAACTAGACGCTTATACAGAGAAATTGGCGTAAAAAAAGAAAAATTTAAAAGATAAACAATTTCAAATGACATAATTTGCTTTTAAAAATATACAATATAAACTAACATGGAAATCTTAATCCAATCTTATGAATGTACTCAGTAATACCGAATTCATTGTGATTATCAAACGGCAGAAAATGCTCTGACTTGACCAATGCAGCAGATATTGTATTTTGCGATTTCGCTGTCGATTTTACGTATGACTCTTTCTGTTTCGCAATATTTCCAGCAAGAGTAACAATTTTTTGCTTAGGTTTAAATGTAGCCTGATATCTCCTTGCTTTTCTGCGAACATATTGAAGAGCACCAGGATAAAGAACTGACTTTGGTCGATTTTTGATTTTTTGTCTATGCAATCGCTTATTTTTAGATGCAAATAAAAGACTTCTGCCACACTTTGCGGATCTGTAGAGCAAAGAAAAAAACAAAATATTTTATAGAGCTAAAACATAAAAAAAAAATTGTATTCCAGACTCCACTTAGAAAATGGTGTTTCATAAAATAAATCCAAAACTTACAAGGAGCCACGATAATTCTGCTTGATTTCTTTCTCATTTTCTGAACTGTATTTATTTTTCGGTGCAACGAAGATCTAAAACAAAAAAATGTGGAAGAAAAAAAAGATAAAGCAAAATTCGATACAACTAATACCAGATTCTGAAAAAATGAGTAAATATTAAATAAAACTAATCGACACATAAATGAGATGAAAAAATTTGGGAAATATAGAATTATTCACAAAATAAAAAGATTGAAAAATTTGAAAACAAACTGAGTTAGTAAATTTCGAAGCTGAATCACGACTGCCACGATTTGAATAAGATTTGATTCTTTCTAATTGTTTCCCGAATTTTTTTAACTAAATTTATAGCTTGAAACCGTAGAAAGCAAACTGTTAAAAAAAAATGCACAAAAAATTTCCTAATCTGCAAAAAAAAGGACTGATCGTTGGTTGCTGGTTATCAGAATTACATATCGTTATAATCCATTACCCTAAATTTCTACCCTTTTAAAAATCTGCAATCTCACCACTCTCTCCTACACCTCATTGTAACACCCACACACTCAAATTTTATATTTTCGCGAATATACCATCAATTTCCTTCATTCCACGGAATCCCACTCTAATCTCCTTAAACTCCCTTATTCGCAAATTCCGCCACGGTATCTCGACCTAACTCCACTAATATTATAATTCCTTAATAATTCTCTGGAGCGCAGAATTTCTACACAAACGTTTGGTTTTTCGTTATCATTTTTCTACACTTTTTTTCCATCATACACAGTCTTGCAAAAATTATATCATATTTATATATAATAAACACATATTTATAAAAATGTATAAATCTAAATAAAAAATTCTTACTCTTCTATAATGTAATTTTATCGGCAATCAACGATGATAATGAATAATACAGATAATGAACTGTGTATTAAAACTGTATCAGAAATTAAAAATTTTTTGAAAGAAATATGAGACTAACATCATTTTCTATTTTATTAGATTTTTCAACTGCATTTGAATAACGCTTCGCGATTTCATCCAATTCGCTAACCAATGACATTTACAATACTCTGAAATTTGTGAAATTTCAAGCAAAAATGGGTTAAAAATTGGACGCTAAATTACATTTCGAAAACTATAAGGGTATTTGGCCCTCCATGACTTTTTCGATTCTACAAATAATTTTTAATGAATATTCCTAAAATTTCCCAAATTTTCCGTTACAGAAAGGGAAAACAAAATGAAAAATGAAAGTTGTTCAGAGGCATCGAAAGGACTTCATCCACACATAATTTGCTTAGATTAAAATACCTAAGCCCATATTTTATGCCAAAAAAATGACCGTGTCAATCAAAATGAAATAAAAAAGAAACTGGAGAGCACAACACATAGCGACATTGGTTCGCCAGACAAATGCGACCGCTTTGAAACCACGACAGGCGCCGAGCTCAGTTAATATCGAATCTGGAATCGAAGTCGACCGGGAAATCGCCGGTGAACTCGCAGCCGAACAGGACGCTCCATCTTAAGCAGAGGACGCTCGAGGCTGCCGGTTCGAGGTTAGAGCGTAACGGCCGATTAGCGAGCAGCCAGCCGATTCAGCAAAACTTTTAACGACGATCTGCGTCGATCATCTGTGCCGTTGTTCAGCTGCTCAACTCAAACTTCATGGATTTTTAAAAAAGTAGATTCGACTTGAAAATCAATTTAAAAAGAAGTCAAAGCGAATAAAAAGAAATAAAGATTTCCACGTGAAAAACTGCCTATCGCATTGCTTGAAATTTGATAACAAAAGCCTCGCACAATTAAAACTTTCAAGTTTAAATGAGAAATCCAAACAAGAATTGAATAAAAACCAAATTGAAATACAAAAACAACCAGCAAAATAAAATAAAAAATGTGATAAAATTACTCAAATCAATGCGACTTTTCGCGCCAGACCAACCTCCAGCCGAGCTGACTTGTGTGCTAATTTAAAACTCAGTTCGGCTTAAGAAATTTTTTATAATTTCCGTTTTTAAATAAAATAAAAAGCAAAAGATGCAACTAGTAGAATATTTAGCACTGTTTTTGTGGTGCTAGTGTGTCGGTGTCGTGGTCCAGTGGATGTGTTTCCAGTTTTCTTAAGGTGCTTTTGAGAGGTTTTTATTCTAATTTCGTCCTATCCATTTTACTCACAAGTCAAGCTAAAGTAACTAAAAAGAAATTTGGGAAGATCAGATTGAATTCAACTTCTGATTATATTCCATTTGGAAATTCATTAGTAATAATGTTATTTATGCCAGTTGAATACGGAGTCGCAAATATGCCAAACTGTTGTTAATTTTTCTCGGAATCGTAAAAATTTTTCCAAATTTCTATATCAGAACGGAAATATTTTTTCACTCTTCGTAAGCATGTAATATATCAAAATGCATAAGCTTGTTTACCATAAGTCTCGTTTGGAACGATGTATGAAATATCGATGCATTGATAGGTTGGTTTTCGGCTTGGTGGCGCATCTTAAATTAGCGGTCTGCTCGGCTAAAAATTAGCGGTCTGCTGAATCTGTGAGCCATTCTTCATCTGCAAAATCTGTCCTTTTGATTCCATTTGATCGCGAATTACGAAATCTTTTCTGCATTTCAGCCAACTTCTTTTAAAAATCTCCTTAATCAACATGCATGCTTGGAGTTGGTACTGATTAAATCTCGTGAGCCTTATAAAATCCATCATTTTGGCAATGATTTGCCTGGCATTTGGTGTCTCTTTTATTTTCACACAAATTTTCTCGGTGTACGCTGCAGTAATACTTCGTCAAACATGACAGCCTTTGTATCGTCATTTATTATTTCGTAATTCCTTCTATTTTAGCCTCGCTAAGGCACATAAAGCTGCATTAAACATATGTTGGTAGTGGCTAAAGAAAATCTTTTATTTATTTATTTAATCTTTTATTTATCTTTTAAAAAATCTTTTATTTCATTTTTGCTGCTTTAAAAGATTTTGTCGCATTATTCGGTTTCATTATATTTTATTATATTCGTTATCAGTACATCTAATAAAAATGGCAATTTCAGCCGTACCTGTAACATCGGTGATTTCATCGATCGCCATTAAAAAAGTATTATTTGTTCGTTAATTAAAAATTAGAGAAACTCACTTTATAACAAAAAAATGAACTCTTTTGGATATGAAAAACATTAAAATATTTGCATGGCAATAAATTTTTTATAAATTTAAAAGCATCATTGCTGGTTAGGCTTCATCCGCTGATTTATTGGACCACGTAGATTTTACCAGGGACTCACTTAGCGATAGAAATACAGGCGAGTTCAGCTACACTGGGATTTTTAAGGAATATGTTTACTCCTGTCCAGTGTTAAACCTCAGCATAGCACTCAGACCTGAGCCACTGAGCCATTCTTTTTTTCAGCCATTAACGGTATTGTTATCGTAGTGCATCAGCCGGATTTTAGCCATTCTTGGTGGTCACCTTGCCACGATTCCATCTACATAATAGTTCTGGTTGGATTGATCGAATGCAATAGTTGCTTTAATTCAGCGTTGAGTCGGTTTAATCCCGTACCTTTTTGACAAGAGTAAATCTGCCATAAAGCGTGAAATCATAGATGACACCATCGGTGACTAGCCAAGGCCTGGAATTAAACCAGGAACTAGTCCTAAGCAGGGAAAATAATTCCTAGGCTTGGCCCAAGGATTTGGCTTTGGCCAAGGCATATTCATGTTTCGAAGAGATCTCTGAGATGGGTTGGTGGAACAAGCTCAACCAATAATGAGTGCTGTTAAGTCAAATTTGGCGGAACAAATTTGACCTCTTTCATAAAAATGAATTTGCAGATAGAAATAAAAAAAAGTAGGTTGCAAGGCCACAATTGTTGATAGCAGAGAACACTCGCCTCTCGCAAACAATAACTTTAGAATAACTATGTTATGTCATTGTAGACCTATGAATAATTAATCTTTTTAAAAAAATTTAGAAAGTAAAATGAGATTTCCTGTGAATCAAACATTTAAATTGGTACTTAGAGTGATTATTCTCCTTGAAAATATCGGAAACAGGTGTCAGCGGCATAAAAATGGCACTTCTTCGCCTTTATTATCATTGAAGTTGAAGTGCTATACAGTATATCGGACGGAAATCTATTGTTCCTTTATTTAATGCTATTATGGTAAATGCTATAAATTTTTTGCTGTTGTAGACTTATTATTCTTTAATTGTCATTCAAATTTTTAAAATCTAGCATTTCGATAATCTTATTTTGCAATTTATGGTACTTTCATTTCTGCAATCTTTAATAATATCTCGTGCAGAAATTTTAGAGGAAATTTCCCGCATAACGATTTTAAAAATTGTGCACTTTACAAATTCTACAATGAATTGTATTTATCGATAGGATATATTAATATTGCCAGCACTATGCGAGCATAGTGCAATTAAGATAAATTAGTGTCGCTTTAGATGAATAAGCATCATTTACCGATCATTTAGAACGAGCATTGTGCAAGGAAAATATCATATTTCAGTTAAATCCATATGGCGTGATTACTGTATATGTTTAATTTTTTAATTTTGCGTCAAATTTTGTACTTGATTAATATTTCTTATAAAATATGCATATTTACTTTCCACTGTATACATGTCTTGGATATTTAAGTTATCTTTGAAATATACAAATTAAAATATCTTGGATGTTCATTTTAAAGTAAGGCCAAATAAGAAATTATGGGCCTTAATGCATATTTTTATTGTATTAAAAATATAGGGAAAAAACGGATGTGTTTCGAAGATTTGTGGTCTTTGAGTCTCGATGTTTTCTGCTAAAAAAATATTGCAGAGTTTTGGAGAATTTTTGACTATCACAAATATTTAGGGAAAGTTTATGCGGAAATCGTGGACAAAAGATTGAAAAATATAAGAAAGTTTAGCTTAAAATTCGCTTCTTCCGGTGCTGCAAGTTCTTTCTCATTTGAAGCCAAATTCTAATAAATTTGATTTGTATTTGAGTAAATTTGCATCGAAATAAAATCTTCAAATTTTATAAATATTTTCCATTTTATATTCTTTTAAATAAAAGTTTCCTTAAAAATTCGTTCCTTTTTTCTTATTAGTTAATTAGTCTTCATTGTTTTTTTTCGATGGAATTTCATTTTTTTCTCGTATTCTGAAGATGTATTCAAAATTCATTAATGTTACTTCACTTAGTTATTGTTGCGCACAAAACTGAATCCCATTTTTTGACTCATAATTTATGTTATTTGAATTATTACGATTATGAATTGTTGAGATTTCGAAATATTTCGAATTGAACGAAGAGAAAGAATTGTTGAATTTTAACGGAGGGATTTTAGGGTTTTTGCACTCAGATTTGGTAAATAAGAATCCTAGAATGATTGCATTTGGGTTTTAAATTCATTTAAAAAACAAATCGCAAGGCAAGTCGAAGCAGTTCCACAATGCGTGGAATTCACTGTGTTTCGCCTCCTTTTATCCTTTGTATTTTATTCGTCCGATTGTTGATATAAAAGTAAAAATTTAAAATAAAAATAAAATAACTATAAAAAAGTATGAAAATAAAAAGTAAGTCTCCACTACAAGCTTAATTCCTGGATCACTAAATAGTTATGATTTTTACGACACATCACTGTCCAGCCAAAATTTTCAAGCAGTCAACGCTTACTAATTCAATTTCCGCATGCTTCCTCAACAAGAAAGCTGCTTCGATAAAATTTGCATGCGTAATTCAATTTCTTCATTGATTAATTTTCCACATCGATTCAAACAACCGATATTCAATTTCATTGAAAATTTTTATAAATTAATTATACGTAATGAATAGATTGTAATTCTGATTTGACAGGAGTGTCTTCTTTGCTTATAAAAATATTTCAATTTTGACAAATTTTTTACAAATTCGAGCGTAAAAAAAGTGATAATTTAATTGTAAAGAGATCGATTAAATAATTAAATTTGTGTGAAATGAGTCCGATTTGTGGATTTTTAAATATAATAAAGCAGAAAAGTATGAAGTAACAAGAAGTTTTGAGAAATTTCTGGCAAAATTCAAAAAAAATCAGATGAAGAATAAGAAAGTTTAAAATATATTTTTAATACTTACGAAAAATTTTGTCGTTACTACTGGTTGCCTCAATTTTTCCCCAAAATTCTCCTTTAAAGGGCTTTAAAGTAATGAGGCAAGTTGGATAGATAAGCAAAATAAAGAATCTGGAACTCGATGCACGGTCGATTCTCCTAGACAAGCCTTCTAGTAGCTTTCATTGTTCGTTAAAAATTAGCCAATTAGAGAAATAGTAGAATTGTGTAGAAATTATCGAAAGAAATTATCGCATTTGTCTGGCTAACCTAAAAATTTCCTTCAGGGGTCCAATATATTGCCAAATACTTTCTTTCATTAATATATTTCCTTTCTACAAATTTTAAAACTTAATTGCATTGACAAATTCAAAAAAAGTTCATTCTGATTTGTGATTTAGACAATATTTTTTTATGAAAAAATTTAACAAGAAATATCATTAAGAAATGTGGCTTATATAATAAAATATAAAATACAATGAAAAATAATCCAAATGTAAATAAAAGTGAAGAAATCCCTAATATCTCTAAAATTAAAAAACCCATAACATAAGTTACCTCAACATATGTTGTTAATAGTGTATTTATATATGATAACTGATAATATACTAATAAAAAAAGAGCTTGATAAAATTTGAGGCACTAAATATAACCATACATTCTATTATATTATATTATGTTATAAATAACGCAATCAGTTTGTAACCGAGCTGCACTTTGGTATTACAACTCGCTATATAACATTCGATTATATTGAATAATAAATGAAATATCAATTAAAATATTTTTTAAGACTGAAATTTGACCAGCAACTACCAGCCCTCGACCCGTTTTGGTGGGTTCTTTTGACTATTAAGGTGAGATTCATCACTAAAGATTCGCTTAGATACAGAAGAACAGACGAATCTCCTCATTATCACCAACTATTTCCCTCATTTAACGACAGCTTTATTCAATTTAAAGGAAAATCACTGCAATATTTCAAAATTCAGAGACATAATATGACAATTCAGATCACTAAAAAGTGAATCCTCACCAATTCTAATATAAATGGATATGTTACCTTAAAGTTAATTATCCGATTTTAAAAGAATCCTTACATTTTTATAAATCATTACGGCAGTTTTCATCCTCCTTTATAGTTTTATATTTGTTTTGAATCATTTGAATTATTTTTATATTGAATCGTTTTTCCAGAACCAATCACCAGCCGATTATAAGTTGGCCATATTGTAAAATGATAGCTCACTAAATAAAAACACGCAATGTGATGATGGAGTACGGTATGCTGAATTGTTTCTGGATGTAGCAGCCTACTAGCACCAAGGAAAATTTGCTCATAGAAGGATTAATACGCAGAAGAAATTAGAACATATGATTTCAAAAAGCAACGCGGATAGAGACAACTCCAGATATTGAAAAGATATAAGAGGAAGGCATATCGAGAAAGAATTGAAAAGCTATGGAGAAGACAATTTTGAGTGGTTAATAAATTTATAGATGTTACGATCATTGATATTTGAAGAAATAGAAGAGAAAGCCTGGAGGATGTCCAAAAGTCTTTGTTAAGCTTATTTCGGGATTCATAAAAAGCCATCACGGGGATGCTTCGTTAGTGTCGCTTCATCAGTCGATTGATTATCGTGCAAATTTTCTTCTATGGATGCGCTGTGCGCATAAAGGGATAATGCTAGCGAAATTCTGAACTTGAAGCTAACGACCCTATTTCAATATTTTACCGTTTCTATTAGCACATTTGAAAGCATTTAGGAAGCCATCACTTTTAGTGCAAATTTCTTAACAAGCTCTGGCTTATAGAAGCCATAACAAAGAATGGAGCTTCATCAAAGACATTTTGAGAAAGCCGGAAGTCGGTCGGAAGAATTCGCTTCAGGATTGGTGCCGCTATGCAGCAATAATTCGTCGACACAATTTTTACCGCTAAATGAAATAACAACACAGCAATTCACTCTGGTTGATTGTCCAATCAATCCTCCACGAAAAATTTTAAATGGAGATCCAAATCGTTCATCTGACTTGAGAGATATTACTTCCACCAGTGGTGTTAATATTCAGTCATCAGAACTAAGGACTGGAGTCGAATCATTTAATTACGTCAAACCAACTAAGGTGATCTTTTTTTCTGTGTTCCTTCCAAAGCCTTCACTTTATCATTTTTATTCGTTTGCTTTAATACTGCGAGTAATCATTAAATTTTGGTAATTTTTTTCTAAAATTAGTAAATTTAATTTATTGCGATAATATGAAAAGCATTGCAATCGTTTCCCATTTTTCATTCTATTTTTTGTGTGGTAGCAAGTCCTGTTGGTACCACTATTTATTCCTTCAATTCCCACAACATTTATGTCCCAATAAATGAAATTTGGCTAATATTCATCATTTCTGGTTCGGCTTGTAGCACTAGTTATTAGTGGGATGCCAGTCAGTCATTTGGAGATAAAATAAATATAGGACCCCAGTACCATCGGGATTTCTTAATGAAATACCTACTGCTGACAAAGGTCAAAGCCAAAGGATGCACATTACAATAATCTAAATTGCCTTTACTTAAAATTTCAGCATTAACATGATAAAAAACAAAAACTTCCCCAATTATCTAAAATTTTCCAAGTCATTTATTTTATTTTATTTATTTTAATATTTTTATTTATTCTAATGTTTAAATTAAAAGAAGAGAAAAGCTCCTAGCAGAAACCTATATAAAATAGAAATTCATTGCTAGGAACCAACATTTACAATTATCTGCAAATAAATAACTAGTTAGCACCAATCATTTCTAATTACCCATAGGCCGACAGTTAGCGCATTTAAAAATTTTCATAAGGAAGTAGGGAATATTAAGCGATTGTTAAGCAGCCGAACTTCTTGACGACAAATTTACCTGTTAAGAGCACAAAGGCAATAGGACTTACCTCCCAACACAGTGATCACAGTTATCCACTATACATTCGCTTATTTTGACCACTAATTTAATCACAAATAGAGTTGTAAAAGAGTTTTAGAGTTATCATTTTTAACACAAATAAAAAATTTTAACATTAAACTGTAAATTGAAAATTAATTGAATATAAATTTGAAAAGAAAGAAAAAAGAATTAAATTCGTCAATTCGAAGCAAATACTATTTGATGCCATCCGATAGATTCGGTTTCCAGATAATTTTTTTTAAACTTTTTGATTGGGTATAAAGTGGCTCAGTGGGTTGTTGCTCAATTGGGAGCGCTGGTGTTGAGGTTCATTCCCCAAAGAAATAAATCTGTGCAAAAATCGGTGTGGTGCTGGCGACTCACCTGTATCGCCAAGGAATTTCTTGGCATACTGCCTAATGCGACAAGCCAGTGGAGCGAGTTTAACCAGTAATGGTGAGGACTCTTAAAAAAAAAAGAAACGATTTTCGATTATAAAAGATAAAATTATAAAAGATTCCAATTTAAAACAATTATAGTTTTGAAAATTTAATACTTTTCTAAAAATTTAAAACAATTAGAACTAAATTTTTTAAATTAAAAAATTTTTTATTTTAAATTAAAAATTTTAAATTAAAAAAAATTTTATTTTCGTTAAATAGTATTCACAGATTTCAAATTCAAACTCTTTTGTTATTACGAAAAGGCAGAATGAAGGGTAGCCGGGAGGGGTCAATTTATTTTGAGGCGAAGGATCTGCTCACCAGGAGTAATTTACATTAAAAATGCAAGTGGTAATCGGCCTGTATTCCTATCGTCAATCTTCTGGCAAAAAATTTCGAACTACATTGATCAAAAATGGTGTGCGTTAGCTATTTAGGAAAGTGCAAAAAGTATCGGAGTAAGGGTAAGGGTAGGGTAAGGATGATTTTTATGTTAATATCAGAAAGATTAAAATAGAATTTTTTGTGGAAAAGATTTTCAGTATGAAGCTGAAATTTGTTCATCATGCGCTGAATACATAGTCGATCGTAATCTTCTTACCGTAAACTCTCAATATTGGCATGTTGAATGCCTACGGTGTTCACAGTGTTCCATCCGCTTGGATCAATATCCATCGTGCTTTTTTAAAGACAATGTTATTTATTGTAAGCAGTGCTATAACCGGTATATTTTACTTTTTCTATATATTACTGTTTTTTATTCCATATTTTTATCAATTTTATCAATTCGTTTCCGAAAATAGAATAGCAATTTAATTAAATTTTTTTTAAGTACTCTTTTTTTCCTTTTGTTTAATTAGAATGCAAAACAGTATTTATTATTAAATTACATATTTTCACTTATAACCACGTGAATTCATCGCCATAATATCTCTGATATCCTTATCAGCTAAATTGATTAAAACATTGGCTTTTTCCAATTGAATTTTGATTTTCTAATAAGTCAATTGATGATTTTATGGTGAAATTCTTATGAAAAAAAATTAAATTTTTCGTTGAATTACTATTTTAGCCGATATGCTAATGCTAATGCTAACAAAAAGTTTGTATAAAAATATTGTTAAATTTAAAAGCATTCATAAAATATAACAATATATGATTCCACATTAGCATTAGTATATAGCATATGGATATAGCTAATAATTTCGAAGTCAAGAGCGAGCTTCCTTAGCCTGCTTACGACAAGAGCACGTTAAAAAGTCTGGCTAACACTGACCTATTCATAATTCTATGGTCAGCTAACTAATTTCTAACTAAGCAGAGCTAACCTAACCAGAAATGGTAAGCATTTATCATAACAATTATATTCGATTAGAATCTATTGCAACATTATCAAATGTTTAGTATCTCCACTGGTCTTTCAGCTAATGAAAATTATTGTTGAAAAAATGATACAAATTTGCAACAACTAAAAATACAGTGAATAAAAGGTATAGCTATAGAATAATCTAATTTAATTTATCTATCTAATTTGGAAATGAAAGGAAGTATTGTCCGAGGAATTACTTTATTCATAATGATGAGATAGATCATTTTATTTTATCAATTATCAAGATTTCGTATAATAGGTGAAAATAATTTTGATTAAAATAATTAAGCATAATTCGTCATAATATAAGTATTGCTATTAAGCACATAACTATCACTGTTATCACTAAGTAAAGGGCTCTTTCATTATATAAACTTGTGCACATTATATCTCCGTACAGGTGCTAAATTCGTTACTTGTACGAAAGGCACTGGTTGCCTGACTGGGATTCCACTGTGATTTAGGTCAAGTATCATAGGTTCGATTGTCATTGAAAGTAAAAGTGCTCAACTCACCTGTACCTCTCTTTCCAATTTATTTTAAAAGCCACTGAAGCCAGAAAGTCAAAATGTTGAACTATTAAAAGGAAGAGCTATCCGAATTAAAATTATTTAATTATTTAATTTTTCAAAGTTGAACGAAATAAAAAATGTGTTCCACTTTTTGCTAACACTTTTTTCTATTAGTTTAGAGCCTTTTCTAATATGACTTCACGATAAATTTCAAATAAACAAAAGTGTTTTCCACTGAGGGAAACAAAATTTTGATGAAGTAATGTCGGCGGCGATTTCACAAATTTTTTTATTTAATACTACTAACCTTTCATGACCTAAGGCATTATAACAGTTATGTCATCAGAAACTATTTATGGTTAAATGAGCACATACAAAATAATATAGTGTCACACATCTGTCATTCTGCACCCTTAGAAACTAACAATTTAAGGAGCTTTGTGATGTTATTATAATGGGGATTACATTATTTCAAGAGGCCTCCTGCTGGCGACCGTTTTCGCCTTGAGATAGATGTTTTGAAGACAAAATTAATAGCAATAATCGGATCTATTGCCTTTAAGTTATTGGAAAACATTTTTATATGAAAAACAAACCTTGATTTAAAAAATAACAACCAATTTTGCTATATGTAGAATAATTCTGACAAATAAAAATTGGTCAAAGGTGGTCAAAAAGTGATGGCGGAATTTCAGCTAGGATATCACCAAACAATTGCTTTGAAGAAGAGGTCCTAACGTTAATTCATGGACCCTTTAGGCGACTTTTTTAGCTTGAAAAATGCGAAGAAAATCACATCTTTATTCTTTCTAATATCTGAATATCTTTTAATATCTTTCTAATATCTAACTTCTTTCTAATATTATCTATCTGAAATTTAATAAATCCTCACTTGCGGTTCTAAGCAATAATCTACAGTAGTTTCTAGCCTTTAGTACTCGGCATACCATGCCATTAAAGAATTTTGATTCAGAAATACTTAAACTTTTAGTCAAAATTAACTTTTCATCTATCAAAATAAAGATTACTGCAATGATTACAAATAAAGGGATTTTCTTAAAATGCTCTAAGATCAATATAATCAATGAATTTTTTATTCATCTAACTAACTGCTATTAGATTATTAGTAAAAATTTTGCTGCTATTTATACTATTAATGCTGATGCTATTATTATTATTAATATCGCTACCACTACTGTTACTGCTACTATTATCACTATTATGATTATGACTAATATTACTTAAAGAGCCGCATGCGACTGATTTCTCGCTTAGCAGAAAACAAATGATCAGTTATAATAAAATAAATGGAAATATTAATGAATGAAAGGGAATGGTGGGCATAAAAAGAAACTTCAAGAAACTTGCAAGTGGATTGAAGTGATACGAATCTATCAGCTGATGCACAAGATATTCGAATTATCACCAGAAATAAAAAAGAATGGTTTTTAATAATAAGTTTTTCTGAATTTCATATTTTAAAATCGGCATCGATTTACTAGGTTTTAAGAAATTTTTTTCATGGATCTTTTTTTCTGAATTTCGTTTCGTTTTAATGCATTCATTGATAGCATCGCAATAATTCGACTTCGATTATCGACTCTTTATACTCATTTTCTGCTAATCCAGCGAAAGGCAGTAATAAGTTAGAAAATATTATCCATAATTTCATTTAGCATAAATACGCTTTAATACATCCGTGATTGGTATAACGGTTTTGGTTTTTTTTGCCCTTTTTTATTAATATTGTTTATATTATGCTAATATTATAGAAATATATGCATGACAATTGCTTTGCTTGATCTTATTCGGTAAAGTAAATCTATTAAATCTGACTCATCCAATAAATTTAGTGCGATTTAGTAAGACTTGGCAATTACTTCCAACATAGAAAGTTTATCATTTCAGAAATCTGCAACAATTCAATTTTAAAAATTCTAACAAGGGCTTAATTCATGAATTAGCCTTCTATTGTATCAGTTGGCAAGAGTTAATTAGTTTTATCGTAGTATAAACACTTATAAGCATTTTAGACATCACTGACCGCTAATAAAGTGATTTATCTTATTTAATTTAGCTAATCATTAATTCTGGCTTTACAAGAATCGAATGAACCAAAAGATAAAATATAAAAGCGGGAAGTTCGACAAATTTTGTTCTTGAATTGCTGTAAAATTTCGTTCAGCTAATAGCTAATAAATGATAAGTGGTTATTCGCTTAATCAGTTTCAAATTAATTCAAATTGGAAATAAAGTTTATTGCCTCGAATTATTTCGAATTATTCACAGATGTTCCACAGATTTGCAAATATTACTTGTTTTTACTGATATCCTGGCAATGTATGTAGCTTTCCAGTGGCTTTTAGTAGACCATTTCAATGACCCTTATTTCATCTTCAGTGTTTTCACTGGATGATATGAGATTATCTATCTTCTACAAATCTGTCGACTTCATTTTATTTCGTCTAGTTTCTCTAACTTATTTAGTTCTGTTGCCAGACAATTCGGGACTAAGTGTTCGTCATGTCGCCGTTTAATTCAATCAACGGACTGGGTTCGAAGAGCGCGAAATTTTGTTTATCATCTCGCTTGTTTTGCGTGTGATCATTGCAAACGACAACTTAGCACCGGTGAAGAATTCGCACTTCAAGATTGTAGGCTTCTTTGCAAACAGCATTACATGGAGCTGATCGAAGGTGAAACAGGTCATAAATTAAATTATTTTCAAGAAATTACATCAATAGTTCCAAAAACTCATCATTTAGGAATTTATTTTCGTAACTTCAGTAGTCAAAATTAATGCTTCATTTTGAATCATTCGCCATTGTTTAAATTCGTTATCATCTTTATTATCCAATTAATTGTTTCTACAAGGAAAAGGTTATGCCCTTCTATCAAGCAAATTCAACTCATTTAGGTCAACAGAAATCGAAAACTAAACGAGTCCGGACAACGTTTGCTGAAGAACAATTAGCAGTGCTGCAGACCCATTTCCAAATCGACAGTAACCCGGATGGCGCTGACCTAGAAAGGATTGCTACAATGACTGGTTTAAGTAAAAGAGTTACACAAGTTTGGTTCCAGGTATGTCGTTCATTTCAATATTTCCATTAAAATCAATTCAATCATGATTGATAATTATGATTATTTATTATTATGGAATAAATATTAATTGTTAATTATTAGATATAAATTAATAATAAATATAGTAAAAATCAGTTCGACTGAGAATTTGCAAAATGTAATCAAAGACGAAAGCGAAAATTAAATTTGCAATCAATCCCTGCAATTTAAGTAGATGAATTATTCAATTTGTTTATCATCAAAATTTTATAATCGTTTCCACTGGAACATTGCAGATCTAATTAAACGAAAGAAAACTTCATAACCAATCCACTCGCTTTCTTAGAAAATATTCTTAAATATTAAAATAACTTTAATGCAAAAAATTCATTAAATTTAAGAATTAAGAAGAATTTAAGAACTGATTTTATAGATTTTTATTGTAAAGAACATTTTTTGACCTAATAAAGAAAGAATTATTAACAACAATTATAGAATTCAAGAGCCAGGCAAAAAAAGTACCAAGTAAATAAAAAAAATCACCGTTTAAACTCAAGCGGACGATCATCAGCTGATCCATGCAGTCCAAAAAGTCCAAGCTGCGATAGCAATGATGGAATGATATTTCCTACGTCAGTTCTAACAAGGTTAGAATTTTTCCCATTTTGGTTAAAATTTTGAAACCAATAGTAACACGTTCTCGACAAGGTTAAACAGTAACTTCGCAATTTTGCAGCCATCCGTTATAAAATTCCAAGCTAATAGTCCTTTATTGATAGCCTTATAAATTCCCTCGAAAGAATTCTAAAATTCTAAGAATTCTAAAATTAAAAAGTTATTTATCATTATTAAAATTCATCGCTAATATCACCAACATTTATAAAATTTCAGTGTTGAAGATACGATGGTTTCCGGTCAGCCTTCAATACTAAAAAAAATGAGTTCTGAAACGGAATTGATAAACCATGATATTTTATAATTCATTAGCTTAAAGAAATATTAATGACTTTTAAACTTTGAAGTGCAGATTTTTATTTTTCCACATTACTCATCTCTTCTACTTTGAGATTTTAAAGAGTCCTAAAAAAAACTAATCCCTTAAACATAATTATAACTGCTGCAAATACACTAAATCATCAGAAATCCGTGTTTTTTTGCTATTTGTACATACAAACATATGTATATATTATATATATTTTGATCTCTATATATAACTTGTCTTTTTCTGGAAATTTTTATTGAAAATCCAAAAAGCTGAATTAAAAAAATTTTGCGACTTTTCTGCACCTACTGCTAGCAATGAAAAATAACAGCCTTCAACTACTTGCAACAGTTATTTAAAACACTTTACAAATTAAAACAAATAAGAATAAAAGAACAGTAATCAAATTTTTTGAATGATTTTAAATAATTTAAATGGTACGATCGCATTACAATCAAAGGATTAACATATCGAATAATCCTGGCGTTCAGTCCCTACTTTCAGTAAAAAATCCAGATGAATCCACCTACATTTACATTTCCAAATGACTCTCTGATTCTCATCTTATCTTCAAATTCTTATCCTATTAATATACAGCAAAATGAATTGAATCAGAAATGATGTTTTTATCACTTAATATCAAAACCATTTTCTGACAAAACGGTTGTGTGCTCAGAAAATTGGAAAAATTTTAATCCAATTTCATACTTAATGGGGTCAAACAAAGAATATGTTCAAATGAAATTTATGAATAAGCAATAGCTTTATACTGTTCTTGAACAACAGCACTAAAATCGAGTAATTGAAGCATTTCATTGGCTCCATCAAGGAGTCTTTCCTCACATATCTGAAAATTGAAAATAAAAGATTTTGAAAATGGTAATTAATTTCAATAATTATCAAATATTTTTAAAATAATGATTTTTCTTTGATATAATTAAATTTTCCATAAAGAATTACAATTATTTTACAACCAATTGAAAATCAAATCGAAAGCAATTCAGAAGAATCTAAACAAGAAATTATAAAACTTATAAAACTTACTCCCATTTTACTAAAAATTGCAGCTTTCCGGATATCCGGTAACTCATCGCTTCGAATAATAATGAAAAGTATCTGGTTCATTAATTGACAAATACCATATCCTTCACGTTTCATATGTTTTGCAAATGACAATATATTATTGAATTTTTTAGACTGACAAGCTTTTACGAAATCAGAGACTACCTCATCCGGAACGGCACCATACATTTGGCTGACATCGGACGGCTTCATTTTGGTAAGACAAGAAGACATGGTCTAAAAAACTAGCAAACACGACCGAAATAAATATTGTTTCGATAAACAATATAAGTTCAAAATACCTGTAGGCAGGTTATGCTCCTTCGTAAATCACCACCACATAAATCAATCAACTTATCGATGGTGCTAGAAACGATCTGAAGATTTTCTTTCTTGCAAATAAACTCTAGCCTGGAAAGATTTTCAGAAGTATTTAAAAAATTAAGAAAAGTAAAAATCCATGAACAATAATCATTTAGTTCTGTTTTGTTTTAAAGAACAAGAAAAGATCTGAGTCATTTCATGAGCCGCATCGATTGAAAAAAAAAAAATTTAAAAAATTTTAACGAACCTCTCTTTTTGACTTTCAACGGACAAAGGTTTAAATCTAAATTTCGCACATCTCGAAGTCAATGGATCAATAATTTTTGATATATAATTGCAGATCAAAAAAAAGCGAGTTGTTCGAGATTCTCTTTCCATAGTACGGCGTAAGGCTGCTTGCGCAGCCGCAGTAACTGCATCTGCTTCGTCGAGTATAATGATCTTCAAAATAAGATAAGATATCATTATTCCATTATTAATATTATTTAGTATTAAAGTAAAGAATCTTGTCATTCTCATATGAGAAAAGACACTTTAAAGGCATCTTCAATTTTATAATAACTGCTTACTATTTGCGCTATCATTGCTTATCAAAAAAAAATTATCCTTACAAAAAAATAACCACATATGCTCTATGTTACAACATTAATTTAGATGATACTAAATTAAACAACTTATCTTCATTACTTTTTGTTTTTTTCAAATAAAACTTCTTACTTTTAATCCAATTACTGGGCTATTATTAGGAAGATAAGAAGATACTGTAAGTCGAGCAAATTCTTTTATCTAAAAATCACTAATTCAAATTATAAAAATTAGTAAAAAATTTTACATGAATGAATTCACCCATTTTATCTAAAGTATGAGGAACAATTCCTTTCTATAGTTTTTTTTCACAGTTATTTTTAACAATCTGTGCAATGACGATTGACCTATTGAACAAAAATTTACCTTGTTACGGACAATATTTATGCCTCTTTCGTCAGAAGCATTCATTTCTAACACTCTTTCGCTATAAACTTCAGGAGTTTTGAAAAGTTGGCGACAAAGGGCAATAGCTGCAGAGGTTTTGCCAGTTCCTGGAGGACCATAAAACAGTAAGTTTGGCAGCTGAAGAAAAATGTTCTAATTTCATATCCTCAAAAAAAAACAACAGAAATCCAACAGAAATGCTCAGAGATAGATTTGCAAGAAACGATAAAATTTACATCAGCTCCTTTAAGAACTTGTTTGAGTATTGTCACCACTTCTTCTTGATAAGCGATGTCATCGACTTTTTGAGGACGACTGTAAATTAGATATATATATTATTGAAAAAGGAATTCAGATTCCCTTCTTGATTTTTAGTAATATCTGAATAACTTAATCTATAACTGCTCTGTAGCACTTGCCAAATTTTACAAAATATTATGAAAAAACCTCAGGCTTACTATTTTTCAACCCAAGGAAAGGTTGCCACCGAAGAATTTTTTTCTTTACTGACTGGTGTTGTTGCGGTTCTCTCTGCACGCTTTAGAAACAAATCCATTCCGCAATTTCTTTAAAGTTCACAACATAAAAAAAAGTCATATTTTCCTAAGAAAATGCAGTAATAATATTTGCTAAAATTTGAAGAAACTTCATGTTAGCAGACATCGAAAATCGAAGACTATAAATTCAATTCTACCAGAAAAAAAGATTCCTAAATATGAAATCACTATACAAATATACAAAACTTTAAATATACAAAACTTGTGCCATTATCCATTATTTTTTCAGGTTGTTGGATACAACTCTTAGATATACTGAGGATATATAATAAACAAATAGATAAAGCTTGGCTAGATCATCTAAAATCCCAAGGCTAAGATAAAATTGCGCAATATTTATTTCTTAATTTATAAGGAAAGGTACAGAAAAAAATAACAATGAACAACATGAAACCCCAAGATTATCAAGTATATATAAAGTTTATATAAAAGCAAAATTAAACAAAATAAGAAGAAATTAAGCAAAATAAGAAGAAATAAATATCATTCTAGCTGGCCTAGATTAAAGAAAAATTTGCAATCCAGCTTTCTTCTTTTCTAATTTTATATTACACGATTATTTCTTGTTTTCAGAAAGGAAAGAGAAAAATACAATGTTGTAATATAAATTAATAATTTATTAAAAAATTTCTTAAAATGCACTGAAAAGAAATTAATTTTGAACCTTTCTCAGATATTGATTTTTGATTTATATATACCATCTATTAAAGCAACTAAGAATTAACTTAAATTAAGAAAAAACTTGATACCAAATGAGAAATGTAAACCATTATATAATATTATAAAAAACTTTAAAAAGATAAAATTTGAAAAATTTTCATATTTTTCAAATTTTCATTTTTTACAAATTAATAAATTAGATAGAGTTAGGAAACAAAAAAATGATGGAACAAAAAATCCAACTAGAGAATTAGAAAATCTCAATAATTTCCTATTCAAAAAGTGCAATTAAATACATCGACCAGATGCCAAAAAGCAACGCAAAAATTTCCATGATACTCTGCATTGTAGAACTCTTTTCTAATAATTCGGGAATTACAGAAACCGTAGCAATATATATAAAACCACCTGCAGTAAATGGTAAAACCTAAAATCCTAAAATTAGCATTTTGGTTAATAATTTAAATCTTAGATTTTTAAAAATTAATTCAAATAAACGAAAATGAAAAAATATTAAATTCCTCATAAATCTTTTCAAATCTTCGAAATCTTCCATAATGAAAAAATTTAAAAAAAAAAGTCTTGAATTCTTTTTTCATAAACAAAAATTGCAAAACCAGAAAATTTTGGCTTAAATTCCCAATGAATTAATGAACAACCGAAAACAAACCCAGCTGGAAGACGCAGTGTCAAGATCATAGGTGTTAGCTGTACTCAACGAGAGAATGCACCCAATTATTGCGCCAACAGCTGTTAAGAGTTGAACAAACATAGCCTAAAACAATAACTGATCTATAAAGCTTTAAAATCAGGGATAAAAATATACCTTTTTTTTCGAAAATCCTGATTGCACGAGTATGGCGAAATCACCAATTTCATGCGGGACTTCATGTACAAGAACAGTGATCATTGTTACGAAACCTATTGTTGTCCCAGCCAAATAAGAGGCTCCGATAGCCAAACCATCAGTGAAATTATGAACAAAATCGGCAACAAGGTTTAGATAAGCAGCAACACGAAAATTTGGTTTTGATTTACACCCATCTAATTCCTTTTTTTCACCTTCCCTCAGATCGACATTAACATCACTTTCATAAAAGCTCTAAAATTTAATTACGGTTAGAAATATTGAAAATTCAGCCAAAAGTTTAAAGGAAGAAAAACATGCATGAATTTCAGACCTCTTCATCAGACATTTTATCTTTTTCGCTCTTCTTTAATTTACCAATTTTCGAATTATAATCCTCATATGAGTGTGAATGCCCATGCCCATCACCACCTCGCACAATTCGTACAGTTTTTTCCACAATTAGAAAAGCAATTATTCCTATGAAAAATAAAACTAAATAATTAAATAAAGACATTTAAGCATTTATGACCATAATATCACATCCTTAAGGTCTACCGTCTGCCTCTACTATTAACTATTATGCTATGATTCATCTTATGATTAAACTATTATGCTTGGAAAAATTTTCTATAAAAGTTTTTCCAGGGAATGGTGAAATTTTTAGAAATTTCCAGCAAATCAAATACATAGATAAATTAAATATTCAAGCCTCAAGTAATGAGGCTCAACAATAAACCAAAAAACTTTGAATTTAAATGATAACCTCATACAGCGAAAAATAAAAAGCAAATACCCGCAAGAACACATCCCCCAACACTAAGATCGTGAGAACCATGTGAATGACCTTTAGTTCCATCATCGTGGCTATGATTATGATTATTAGATTGAGAATGTGGAATCAAATGAAGAAATGCATCACCAAGAAGACCACCGGACCCAAAACTTAATAATATTTTTAACAATGGTTCGTTTTCTGCAGCATTACTCTGAAGATCGACAAAATAGAATTAGGAAATAAATAATATTTACGTAAATAGACAATATTTTTTTTAAAAGACCTCACTATTACTAGTTAAACTCGCTTCGCTGGCCTGCCGCACTGGACGAATATGCCAAGGAGTCCCTTGGCGATAGAATTACAGGTGAGTCGCCAACATTACTTAGACTTTTGTACAGATTTACTTCTTCGGGGGAACAGAACAGCATCGGCGCTCGGAATTCAAGAGCAACCCACTGAGCCATTCTATGCCCACCAAATAACCAATATATATCAATGGGAAGTCTGACCAAATTGAATAAGCAATGGATTGAAAATCTTGTGATAAATAAAATTTAGTTTAATCACATACTTGAAGTGGAATAAACACCAGTAAGGCGAATGGAGCAATACTAATAATCAGTGTAGAAACAATACTATAAACCCAAATCCGAGTATGAGCATCATTTAAAAATGACAACGGGCTGAAAAAAAAATATTTAAAAATATTTCACGAATTTTAAATGATGGTGAAATAGTTTTGAATAATGTGGCATTTAAAAACGTATTGTACTTTCACAGACACGTCAAATTTTGAAAAAATAAATTTGCAAGAAACAATACTGAAAAAGTGAGACAGAGATTCAGTGCTTTAATTAATTTTATGACTCCAGAATTATGAAATTCAATTAATATAAGTAACACTATGAAATATAATTTATATAAATGAAGTATAAGAAATATAAGAAATTTAAAATAATATAAGAAAGTAATAAAAAGAAGTATAATAAAATAATAAAAAATATAAGTAACAAGTGAATATAATTAAAAAATGATGGAATCCAAAAAACAATTCAGTTCTTCTAACAGTACTACCCATTACTGTTAGGCCAGCTCTACAACCATCGCTGACAATAATAGAAGCCAATCCTTATCATATATTGTCCCTCTATACGTTTAAAATCTTTCCAGACTACATTCAATCCAAGTCTTAGCCTACCTCACTTTTGACGCCATCCATCACTGGATTTGCCAAATAGCAATATGCTGCTCTTCAATTAAATCGAAGGCAGCTGCAAAATTGGTGATGCAAATGAGGTGAGTTGCTAATATCTAAAGCGATGTTACAGCACCGTTCTTAGCGTGAATATTTGGTCAATCGTGCCTCAGCCCAGCTAATTTAGGGCGCATACTGCTATTTCGTATTGCCATATTACTTCATAGTTCAGTTTGGCCTTAAAAAAATTCTTTTAACCCTATGTAACGATCTTTAATAGCCTTAAAATGTGCACCATTATTATACTTCACTAAGCACTACCCGAATTATGGTTCCTTTCTAAAGAAGACGAAATAGTTTCCTCTTATCGCCTAATCGAGCCGCCGTCTCCATTCTCAATACCATCTCGATCCAATAGCGATTTCTACCTTATTGCTGTTGTTGTAGTTAGTTTTTTGAAGCATTCGACTGTAAGGATCTCCTGACATCCTGGCTCTTGGTAATTTTTTCAGATAGTTGGATAGTCATTTTCTACACCCAATCACCAAATTTTCTAGCAGCATATAGTAGTGTGGCTGATTTTCGGAGACAAGTTTTTAGTAGGAACCAGTATTCATCAGCCGTTTCGCCGTTCTGACATTCATTTCACTGAGATGCTTCAATAATTCAGTTTGAAATGCGATAGTTACTATCCCGGACCTTTTAGTTTGTGATAGTTGAAATATCTTGGGATACGTTATTTCTTACGACTTATCAGTTTGCGAATATTGGCTCGAACCATAACATGGTCTGATCCATGGCGGTTACTGGTTTCAGCGTCCTAACTACCAACTACAGAATTCTTTCAGCCGTGATTGATCAATAAATAGTCAATCGGATTGGAAAATTGGTTGGCCGGAGAATTCACGTGACTAGATGTTTCCTCCGATGCCGAAAGAATGTATTAATAACAAAGAATTCATCACGCTTGCTGTTCAGCAAAAGGAAGAAGGCGTTCTCCATTGGTGCATTAGATCCCGATGTCATGTTTGCCAATTACCGAATTTATCGTAATGGCATCATGACCTACGCGCGCATTCCAGTCTCTGCCAATTATGATTATGCCACCTCTCGCTAAAAGATGTTATTACAGTTGAAGTCTCCGCATAAAACTTATCCATAGAACTTATCACAGTTATCTGAGCATAAAATTGGAACATATATACATTGATGAACCGAAATATTGCAGAACTTTTCTTTAAAGCAACATCCTCGTCTAGCTAATTCTTTCATTTCCCTCGACAGATTTTGAGTAATTACTCTGGGGGATCGCGAGCACATCCTATTTCCAAGCTTTGAGGTTTTATGTTTTATTGTATATTTATCGCATATACCACAGGAAGTACCGTGTGCGTCGGAGGATACGGACGCCATGCCATATCATGCCATACAGGCCTAATTCTTCTACCACAGTAGGGATAGGATCACGGGTGAATCCCTATCAGCCACCCGGATTTTTGATGCTATAATAGGTTCACTCCTGTCAAAGACAAAAATAAATAATTAAAAATTAGGGAAATATAAGAAAAAGCCTTTATAAGAAAAAAATTCTGTCAAACAAGAATCAATAATATCTAATTTCCCATATTTTAAAATTTTAACTAACCCATGGGGATTGTAAGGCAATATTTTATCTGTTCTGGCATTAAATGAATCCGTATGGCCATACATCTCGTGGGTAGAATGGCTGTGACCATGTTCTTTACGGTCATAATGGCCATGCTCTTCATGATTATGATGACTATGACCATGTTCTTCATGACTACGGCCATGCTCATCAGCAGCATGAAAATGACTCTAAAATTTAAAATGATGAAGAAAACAAAACGAAAGAAAACGAAAAAAGAAAACGAAAAAACGATATTAAAGCGGTTCTAAAGAATCTAAAAAATTTTAACCTTCTGAAAAATAAAGATTTTCTTTATTATTAAAATATTTATTTATTTAAATACATCACAATCAACAATTAATCAACAAAATGAAAATAATATCATCAAATACTTTAAAAACACTAATGAATAACACAAAAAGTCTTACATGGTCATTACCGTGGCCATCATGAATACCGTGCCCTGAATAAGCCTGAAAAACACCCTCGACATTCATATTTGAAACTTCATACATATAAAATTTAACTGTAAAAATTTGAACAATCTTCTGTGCCAACAACAGATTATAATAGAAAAATTATTTCACTATAATTTAAAAAAGAAACTGCAATCAATTAGAAGACAATCAACAAGGTTAGACAACGAAAAATACAAGAAATAAGTGGAAAAAATATGTAAATTTATTTTTTATTTTATATTGTTTTTTGTTGTTTCCAACGTCAAACAAATTGCAATAAACAAGGCTTGAGAGCGCAAAAAACGATGGTTAATCTGATCTAGACCTCCTCTTTCACAATTCGAATTTTACTGGATCAAGATGAATAAAAACAGTCAAATATAGTCAAACATCTAAAATTGATTATAACTATCACCACGCACAATCGAGCAAAATATACTTCATACAAAAAAAACTGGTTTAGCTTCTTCTAATAGCTTTCACCATTACTGATTAAGCTGATTCCGCTACCTACAGAAGTATCCAAGCTGCTTGATCCGACACCATCTCTAACAGTAATAAAGCGGACCTTCATTTTGAAGGTAATTTCGACTTCATGGTGGTTTCGCCAACCAAAGAATGCATTTCTAGCACCGTTATTCGTGCCAACAAAAAAATAGCGGATTCTGTGATACTGTGCCTTGGAATGATTAATACATCTCTTGATTGCTGACAAGCATTATTCAATCTGTCATATGGTTGAATGTTGTAGGAGAAAGAACACCAGTTCTTAGTTCGACATTATCAGTTCTCCATATATACTGATGTATATTGATAAAATGCCTTTATAAGTCGAACGATTATTTCTAAAACACCACCCTCAATCCTTCATCGCCCTTCAAAGCATTGCTTTATCAATTGAATCGAAGATCTACAAAATCCAAAGCAAATAGGGATGGGTTGCTAATATTTAGAGCGATGTATCGCCAATAGAAAGCCCTTCTTAGCGTTAATATCTGGTCAGCAAAACCGAGTCATAGAATGCAGCTTGGCTATTACGCATCCTGTTGTCTCGTACTGCCATAAATGCATTCATTAGGAGAGAAGCGAGAACTTTCTCGTAAATCTAAGAGGCTGATTCCTCGATGATTGTCACAATATGTTTTACCTCTTTTCTTGGGAACTGAGAGTAGAACTACTTTGCTCCAGTCATCTGGCGCTATTTCCTTCTTCCATACGAGGTAGTGCATTTGAAGGTGTGATATAAAGGATGATGGACAATATTTAAAGATTCCGATTTGAAGAACAATTTGAAAGAAATTTTGTTAATCTTAAACTTCTGGATGATAGAGATTATTTCAGATTCTACTGGTGGTTCGCAAATATATGATCCGAAGAGCGATTCAAAGAGCTATATCCAAAATAAAAGATGGTGCCTCGTGGTAAAGTTTTGGCTTCAAAAATTCCTTCAAACTTACAAGTCGATCCTTAATTGCCTTAATAGACCTTATAACACTACAACTTCGTACCGACATTGTGCTTCTTTAAAGCATCCGATAACCAGAATCACCATAGTAATTTGGCAGTCTTTTCGGATAGCTGGATTGCTTCCGTTAGCGCACTATCTACTAGCACATGGAAGTGGTTGGAGACATGCCTTTAGTTGAGGCCACATTGTTATTCACTTTAGTAACTCGGCTTGAAGTGCGCTGTTAAAAAAGTGCGCTGATTACCTAAATTTTTCTCCACGATTTTCGAAAAAAATTATAATTTAAAACTTTCATTGCCTACGGAATATTCTACCCAGCAAATCTCTAACAAAAATTTTTAAAAATAATGTAAAAATAAAAATGGAAATAAAAAAACAGAAACCTCATTTGCTTCACGACTATACTTATAATAAGCAGCTCCTGTATCGTGACTATGGCCATGTGAATTTACATAAGTTGCTAAAAAGGTTACAAAGGCAAAAGAAATTCCCGAAGCCATTTTTAAAGAATCTGAAAAAATAAAATAATAACTGACAAATATTAAAAAGAAAATCGTTCAAAAAATCAAGAAAAAGAGGAAAATATTGAAAAATTTCAAGAAATTCCGTGGTTTCTGAAGAAAATAAAAAGATAAAAATAAAATATAAAACGAAAAAAACCAAAATATTAAAAGATACAAAATGGATAAACGGACATATACGGCATGAACTCGTGCCTGCGGAACGAGCAAAGAACCCGAGTGGCGTTGGCACTGCACCTCTATCGCCAAGTGATTCCAAGTTAAATAACGCGGTTCAAATATGTACCATGTAATACAAAGTGTATTTAAGCACCTAAACACACAATTCGATAGTGGAGAGAGAAAAGCTGAATGGCTACTGCATGGATTATCACCTAACTTATTAGTGAGAAATGTAATCAAAGAATATGTGACCGTTCAAAGACTGTTCGACTATTTCACAGTACAGCACAAGTCGTTTTAAAAATGACATTTTCTGAATATTCTATGCAAATACTTGACAAATTTGATACATCCACAAGTTTACAATTGTCTAGACAACAACTGTAAAACCAACAAAAGGATGAAAACCAAACAAAACCAAAAATAAACCAAACTCCTCGACACCGCACCAAGCTCATTCAACTCACCATATCGTAATCCAAGAAAATCAGTTTAAGACCAAAAAATTTCAATGAAAGATTTTTAAAGCTATGAATCTCTCGGAGTTTGCAACAAAACTACGGGCCTCCTTGCCTGAAAATTTGGTGAAACCTGTTCTTTTCTTCCTCAAATTTTTTTTCGATTTTTGATTTTGCTTGTTCCATTGATTGTGTTGGTAAAATTCCGATGCTGGCGACCCACCTGAACTTATATCGCCAAAGGACTCCCTGGCATATTTGTCCGGTGCGACAAGCCAGCAAAGCGAGTTTAACGAGGACTATCCAAAAAGAAAATTGGTGGAACCAACAGCTACCCTTTCGCTAAAGATCTGGAGATGGAGAGAGCGAAATGCACCCTCTCCCTCTCTTCGTGAAGATCATGGATCGCTTTAGTGAAAATTGCAGTTAAATGAATGAACAAAATTAAAATTCAGTTTAGACGGCAGGAAAATATTTTCATATATAGGTTTTTGCCTAAAATATTTGTCTCCAATATGTATAAAAATATCCTTCTCAGTGGTGATGCGGGGCTTCCCAAATCTTTCTTTACCTCTTTCACACTATCGTGGTGTCCTCTGATCGACAAGTTCCTCAGAACCTTCCCCTCTCTTCACATTCTCAACACCCATTTAATTCTCTTTAACACGCTGACTGTCTATCCGTTTTTAAAATGAAGGTAATGACGCTTCCTCAAAGTACCGTATAGTACATTACCCAGGGACGCACTTACACTGCACAGTAATTGTACAACAACATCTTTACCAGTAATATTGCATACAAAATTTCAGCTAGCACTACTAAAATTTTAATATCCCTTAGTGCACGTTGAACAGTCGCAGGCCTCACTTGACATCCGCTTAAGATACCTTTGCCACGGCTATAATTACGGTTTGTAAAACTATAAAAAAATAGAATGACAGAGGAGTATAAGACGAAATTGGAGGGAGAATTATATGGGTTTGGCGAGCATCAAAAGAGTGCGCCATAGTTCGAAGTTTTGAAGGACAACAGAGAGTTCTGAAGAAATATAAAAGGGTGTACCAAAATCCGGAGACGATTCTACGTCGATATGCCAGGTCCTTTGGTTTATTTTTAAAGCATTCACATGAGATAAAAAAATCACGTTACTTTTCAAAATGTTATACAATGGAAATAAAAATATTAAAATGAAAATTAAAAACAATTTAATAATTTTAACAATTATGACGAATAACATAAAAAATAAAATCCATAAAAAATTTTAGAAATTTCATTAGTTTCCGTGAATTAAAATCCATTTTACCTTCAACTTTCCACTAATTTTTCGTTTCTAAAGTAAATGAAAAAATTTCATAAAATAAAATAACTAACAGATAATCTGTGGTCACAACACAAACATAACAAAGGAAGAAAGTGAATAAAATGTTGAAAAAAGTGAATTCAATGAAAAAAAAAGTGAACCGAACCAACTGATAAACAAATGATAAAAGTGAACAAAAAAACAATGATAAAATCAACTCTCTGAAATAAAAAATATCAGAGAATTCGTGTTATATTATGTTATAGAATTAGGAAAATTTGTGTTCAATTAATCTCAAATGATTTTTGCAAATATTATTTTTTATATTTTAAATATTTTTTCGATTTATTTTCTTATTTGAAATGAATTCATTCCACAATAATATTTTTTACATTCTAATGCATTTTATTTTTCTTATAAATTTCTTAAATTAATATTTGAGACTGGATGATCGTCGAGCGCTTATAATGCTTCAATGAATTTAAGCCATAATGGGTTTGATTCGATGAGAATAAACCTATTAATAAAGGTGTAGTAAGAATGACGCGGGAGAACACTCCACTCTCTTACAATCCAAAGAGATTCTCTAGCGAAAGGGTTTCTTCATCCTGATAGTCAATGGAGTCAATCAAACCAGTAATAGCGAGTCTTGATAGAAAAGGAATTTACCATTAGGCATATAGATTAGCTGGAAAACAAAATTAGCCAAAAAGAAAGTCAAACTTTTATAACCATAATTAGATTTAAAAAGTAAATTATTTAAAGATGAAGAATTACAATAGTACAAATTTATGGAATAAATTTTGTGCCAAGAGATCCATCCATTCCAATGTTGAACGCATGGTTGAACGAAAAATTATCTTGCTTTATCTTATTTTATCTTGCTTTTGACGTCGCTAAATATGCCATATCTGGTTGTAATAATGCTTCACTCGACTGCAAACAATTATTTTTTAATATCATTAATAGGCAAAATATTAATTTGCTGTAAAAAAAAAAGATATTAAAAGAACCTTTTCTGAAGTGTAAGGCAAAAAACCTTCCTCAATACCAGGTGAAGTACTTTTTGTTGTATTACTGCCTGGCAATGCAATCATTTGTCCTTCTAAATTACAATAATTTATAAAAAGTTGAGTGCATAAATCACGGGCAGTTATTCCACCAGCATACAAATCAACAAATCGTAGAAGCAGTACACCATCTATAAATTTATAATAAATTTCCAATTGTTTCTTGATATCAGAAATTTTTTCGATAATATTAAGTCAGAACTTTATTGAAATAATCATTTTACCAAAATTACTAATAAGCAAACAATCAATTAAATATTTCCCAAACAGTCTTGATAGAATGGTATAGGTGCAGATTTTATTTCAAATTAAAGTTTCAATTAACCTGGTCGAAGCATTTTATGAACAAACATTCGAATAATTCTCTTATCAGTATCACCAGAATAATCTAATTTCATACTTGTTAATAATGTTTCAACGGTATTTTCTCTACGACTTGCAAACAGCATTGTGATAAAGTGATAAATAAAATTAACAAAAGTCAAAATCGCAACAAATAGAAACCAAAACCTACAACAATCGATTTTTTTAAAAATAAAATTTTTACTCACTAATAAATAATTGACTTTTGGCATTTCCAGAAATATTTTAAAATAATTACCAGACAAAAAGATAAATTTTTTCATTGAACATGTTAATCATAAGAACACACTGAACCGAATAGTTATGAATATTTGCCAAACGACGAACATTAAAATCACAAATTGTTACACGAGGAAATATTCCCGAATCATCCCATTCCTTTCCTTGCCATAAATCTTTTAAAGTCTGTAATCATTAAATTAAAATTCAAAATTTATCCATTATATTTAATACTAATAAAATCGATCTTCTTCTAGCAACATTCACCACTTATGGTTTCACTGGTTCTACTGATCATTAGGAAAATTAAGATAACATAACTTTATCAGAGAGTTAGTTGTGAACGGAAATGTAAATGGGTATCCAATACTAGCCGTATTTAAATACAGGTTTATTCCTATCAAGAGGCAAAGACCGAATTCATGATACCTGACCTCAGCCTTATACTTAATTCCGATAATAATAATAATAAACGTTAGCAGTAATAATATCAATAATAAAAAATATCAGTTTAAAATAAATATTAATAATAAATGATAACAACGATAACAATTAATAATTAATAATGATAATCAATAATAATAAATATTATTATTAATGAATCATAATTAATAATGAAAATAATAATTAATTATAGTCATTAATAATGATTAAAAGTCGTAATTATAGTAAAAAATAGTAAAAGTAGTAAAATTTACAAATAATAGTAATTAATAATAATTAATAATATTTAGGATAATAATTAATAATGATTATTAATTATTATTAATAATTAATAGTAATAAACAATATTATTACGATAGTTATAAATAATAATAAACCAAATAAAAATTTTGCAAATCAGGAATTCAAAGAAAAATAATTATAAATATAACTCAAATAAATATAATTATAATAAAAACAAGAAATTTTTGTATAAAAATTTTATAGATTTTATTTTTTTCAAAGAATTTTTTTTTCAAAATATATTTTAAAAATATTTAAAATCGCTAAACTCGAATAAATTATTTTTCGACTTATTTAAAAAAATAAAAAAATACCTGAAAACCCCAAAAAGTATGTTTAGAACCCAAAAAATTATTTAAAATGACGAACTGTGCCAAAATGTTGAGAACATATAAAAATTTGACGAATAAATATAAAGAAGAAACATATGAGCCCAGTGATCGACCGATATTAAAACATAGCCACTGTTTATGATCCACGTCAAATTCCAGGTTTTCACCAATATATTTTGCTAATTTATTTAATTCATTTTTTCGATCTTCTGATCGTGATCCGCGAAGGTTTTTTGCTTCTTTTACGATTATATCCATGTCAAGGCCTTTAAAAATGTTTTTATAAACTTATTAGGAAAATTTACTATTAATTTTCCTTACAATGATCAGTTCAATAAAAATTTTTCCTTAAAAATCAAAGACCTTTCAATGAGAATAATAGTGAGAACAATGAGAACATGAAGAAACAATTATATCAAAGATGGTGAAAACCCATCAACCCATCAACACAGGAGTTCCTAATGAGGACTCTTGCATTCGTGAGCATGTGATGTTATTTGAAAGAAAGCTCACATTTCTATTTTCACTAATTGAAATCATTTCCTTCATTTATGAATTGAAATAATAAACCATGGTAAAAACCCGATTTTGTCACCATAAGAAGTCACAGATATATTCCAACCATACTGTTCTTCCATTGCTTTCCACACTCATTGGTCGGCAAAAGGATTGACAGGCTTCAACTGGAGTAGGCTCCATTTGAATGATAAATGATTCCATGGCAAATAATAACCCTTTTCTCTAACTACTTTATTGCAAACATTTCCAAGGATCAACGGATAAATTAACATTTATGAATTAATAAATATGAAATGATGATTTTTCTCGTTTGTGGGTATTAACTGATATTAATCATAATCCAAAAATTTAATACGATAGAAAACAAGAAAGACAAAATAAAAATTTACCGCTTTGTTTGTTAAAGGTTTTCCAGATCCATGCAGGTATGAAAAACATAAGAGCCTGAAGTGCAAGCACTATTGGTACCCATTGATAATAACCAATTTCAGCATTTTTACGATCACCACTATTTTCAGGGACGGGATCGTCAAAGTGTACCCAATAGGTATTCTAGAATTTGGTGTTCATTAAATAATTTTTAATCCCTTCCAGATTATTATTCAGATTATTATCCAGATTATTTATCAAATTTTCATAAGAAATTTGGCAATATTAATCAGCAGAAAACCTCTTTACAACTCATTTCCTTTGCCGAGTGATTACTAAGATGAGAATCCTTAGATGAGTTCCTACCACCAGGACTTTTAGGTTTATTTCTTTTAACGCTCAGGAACCGATGATACTCGACTTTAGCCGAGAAGCAACATACTACGAAACCATGACGAGCAGAAATAGAAGATCTTTTGCAAAAAAATGATTTTTTTAAAACAGTATTTTCAAACAATAGAATCATCAAACTACTAAAAGTAAATAAATATTAAATTAAAACGATAAAAATTATTCCAAAAACCTGAATAAAGCAATAATCCTCAGCATATTGTTCCCATCCACCTTTGAATTCCATGGGTACCCAACACTGAATTGGCGATCCCACGTATCTATTAATTTTCCCATTTAAAATATTTTAGTGGAAAAAATAATTGCAAAAAAATAGCAAATATGTGGATTGATACGAGCTGTAATAGGATAAGACTTCCGCCGCACTCAAGAACAGAACTGCATATATCGCTAGGAGTGCCCCACCTGTTCCCATCAGGCGACACGAGTTCAGCCTATGGCGACTTGATTTTGTCCAAGCAATACACCACCTGACCGTCCCCGTCCTATATCCTTGCATCTCAGCACGCGAGTGCCCACATAAAGAAAAGAAGCAAAAACTTACTGTTTCGCCGAAACAAGTATCGCAAAAAATGTAAGCAATGAACTCGTAATAAAGTAATTTAGTCGGTCAATGCGGTCGTCGTACGTTGTTGGCGAAAATAACGAAAGAAACTGAGATTCAAGAAATGGTATTCCAAGCATTCTTTAACAATTTTCTTTCCTCTTAAATTATATTCACCATAAATTCAATATTTTATTTGTTTTTAAAAGCAATAATAAATTCACTTTACAAATAAGTAAATAGATGGGCGCTAACCACTTCTCATTGGTCTTACAGGTGTGGCCAGAAATTTTTGCCAGTGAGTCACTTGGCGATAGAAGTGCACCATCTCGGACTTTTTATATGACAGGTTTACAGCTATTGGCCGCAAAAGCTGAATCCTAACACGATAATCCGAGTCATTATCCAGTCGGCTACTCTCACCCTCCCCACCGAATATAATTGTAGCAGTGAGTGAGTGAGTGCATAAAAGCCGGAAAGGACCACTTTAAGTGTTGGGTTTACTCGGCTAGAAAACCGAATTTATCACTGACGTGTTTGTTCTTGAGGGTGGCAGCTCTCAGCAGTGATCTCAGCCGCTGTGCATCCACTCGGCTATCCCCCTCTCCACTATTTTAAAATCTTAACAAGGCTCCAATTTTCTCTGTCCTTAAATTTAAGCTATTTAAACTGTTAAGAATTTATTAAATATTTATGAATAAATATGATAAAAAATCAATAAACGGAAGAACAATAGAGAATTCGTTCATATAAAATGGTCACTCAGCTAACGGCTATAACCGGAAAGGGTCAAAATGGTTCAGACACTCCGCCCTATTCATTTAGCGATCGCTTTACAATTTGTCGAGGGTCAACCATTATCGATCGGTTGACCTTTGTAGTTTTTAACTTCTTTTTCAGTTTTTTTCTTTGAAAAAACTCATTTAAAAAAAGGAATAAATGTTGACAGTAAAATCCCGATAAAAGGATTTTTTCTGAAAAAGTAAACTTATAAAAGTAATTATTATTATTAATCTTAATAAATTCTGTTAAAAATTAAAAATAATTAAATTGGTGCTTAAAAATTCACCTCTCACCTGAGGGATAGGATAGCCGAGAGAGTGGAGTGACTCAGATTACCGTAAAGGTTTCGAATCTTACCATATCCACCGACTGGAGAAGTCCAAGTACCAAGTCCGAGTGGTGCTACCGATTCATCTCTATTTTTATCACCAATTTTCTTAATCCTATGTTTACACAAAATTTTTAGTTGTTTTCATAGAAGTAATTTAATAAAATTCGTTTTAATATTTTTAATTTAATTTATATATATTTCAAAGTAATTTTGCAATAAAAGGAAAAAATTTCTAAAGGTTAATACGAAGAAAGAGAAATAAATAAAATGCATTAAAGGAAGCAAAAAAAGAAGATAGTTTGAAATTTGTCATTGGATCGAAAGGTGGGAAGCATGTGCACCTGCGGTGCCAGCGGAACCCACCTTTGTGAAGGGCAAACTTCGAAGATTTGTAATTTTACGACTCAATACGACTAAAATAAACAGGCAAACTAAAAAGTATATATACTTATATATGAAATACATTCGATGATCTATGGAAAGAACGTGTTTTCCGCTTATTTGTGTTTAATTAAGAAGGAATGAAGAGGGATAAATTTAAGAAAAAACTGATATAATCGAAAGATTTGTCGATCGTAATGTTATGCTTTATATTGATTTTTTAATGTTTTGGCTGGTTCCATTGACTATTAGGACCGTGAGGACTCAAATCAGAGAGTCACTTGCGACAGAAATACAGGTCTTCTGCACCACTTGTTTCTAGTGACAGCTTACTCTCATCAAGGACAGGGACCATATTCATGACGCACATTTTTATATCATAAAGGAACATACCACTCGACTATCCACTCCTTAACGTTTTAAGATTCTTCCTCTAATAGCGCATACCATTAGACTGACTTTATTGGTAAGATGCTTCCAAGGCTCTCCAGTGCTATACTTAAATTAACTGAAGCCATTCATAGAACAATCATTCTGTTAGTGTCTATGAATCGTTAAGTAGCCAATGCTCTCAAAATCACTTTTGGCCTTCTCACTTTTAAAGCTATTCATCAAAAGGCTTGGCAAGTTGAGATATGTATGAATTTCTGTGGTTTATGACATGCACAGCCTAGACAGCGGAGGCGAACAGTCCACGTAGTGTTTATGCGACGACAAAAATAACCATGTAAAAGATTTCTTCGTAACAATGAGCACATATCTTCTTTCTTTTTCTAACAGCTCTCACCATTATTAGTTAGGCTCAGCTGGCTACAAGGCAAGGCGTTTCCAAACTGTTCTATTCGACGCCATCACAGATAGTAATAGAAGATATTCCTTTTTCCATTGTCCATACATTGCTGGTCGTCCTATAAAATCTTTCCTGATTGTATCAGTCCAAGACTTGATTGGCCCTCCTGGCTTCTATCTCCATCCATGATCGGGTTTAGCAAGTAATAGAATATGTGTTAACTCCTGTGGTGGATGACGGAGAACATGCCCTAACCAGCGAAGACAAAGTCATTACCTACCATTTCTACTTAAGTTCACTCCCTAGTTATCAGTAAAATGCTACGCGATCTGACGCCATTGTCGACAGTAATAGAAGGTACTCCTTTTCTCATCGTCTAAGTCCATATATTGCAGCTCCACCTATAAAATTTTTTAAAATTTAAAATTAAATTTTTATTAAATTTATTAAATTTTTATTTTTATTAATTTATAGTTTAAAATCTTTCCTGACTTTATCAGTCCATATCTTGATTGTCTCACCTTTCTTTTGAGACTTCAGGGCAAAAATGAAATGACCTAAGGCCGTGAACGAAGCATCTCAAAAACTCTGACATAAGCTGCGATTAGAGCTATAGAGCGATTTCAGAACGTTCATGGGCTTTTCTTTTATGGGATAACAGGCAACACATTCTATCCAAATATTATGTGGATATCGTCTACTAGAAACCGTCCGTTTAAATTTTTGAGTCAGATCAATTAATACCTGAATATCTTCAGATCTGAACTATTGGCACCAATATATACCACAATATTTCATATCATTCAAATAAAAATGGTATTACTACTGTTGCGGAAGGGCTTGATCAGTTCTGGTGATAATCCTATTAATGAACGGATGATTAATGAATGAGTGCTTATTTTAAAGCACTAGTATGTTATGCGAAGCATATGGCCTTGATAAAGTAAGATTCAATGCAGAGCCCTTGGACAGTCCAATCTTCAAAAAAATAAAAAATCCTATTCGCAGAAGTTTGAAATACCCGTTTGAAATAGAACGTGATGCTGCTGCACTGTTTTTTGCATGGGTTTCGATGGATCTTTTGTTGCCAGTGTATCCCACAAAATCTTTTATCTGCTGAAGTCAAAAGATTAGAGTATTGAGCATATTTCAAGCTATTTCAAGGATAATGAAGCAGTTGCACGAAGCATTTCAAAAATTCTGACATGATTTTGAAGTTTCATTTTGTACTGGATGAAAATATCGAAATCTCATATTGGATGTTATAGCAGCTCCGATCATGAATGTTGCAGCTCCAGTGGACGATAGTCAAAAATTACTCGGCAAATGTTTAGTAAAATAATCCGAAATATGGAATTTATATAGGAATTCCGAAGATTGCCTATACTAATGGAATTGCGAAGAACTATTATAGGCATTAAATATTAGAGGAGCTAAAATCGATAACCATAGCGAAAATTAATATAAATAAAATGGTAAAATGCAGTTTTTATAAACAATACGTTGATAATACGCATTTTTATAAATTCATCACCGCTTGAAACTTTGCATATGTTACACATAATGGCTGGACAAAAGACGAAATTTCAACCCAAACAGCTAAAAATGTTTTCCAACTGGCAAAACCGAAATTATAGCCAGCCTAAACAAAAATTTATATCTATCTTGCCGTGGTACTAACAGTATGACTTCGAAACATGACAAGTAACAGTCAAAAGCATCATTGAATTCTCTATTTCTGAATATTTTAACTTAGGTGCTTCGTCACTTATTTCGTCAATTTTGCAGTTGTCTCCGATTCAATTGATAGAACTTCACTTTGGAGAATAATAGAGGAACATAATGGTATTCCAGAGAAGATCATTCGATTTAAAAGGCATCCAACTTTTTATCAGCTCGCATCCACACAGGTTTCTGTAGCAATTGAGGAAGAATGGGAGGAGATTCCTTCGAAATAAGAAATGATGTTCGTCATCAGTCCAGAAGGTAATATCATAGAACTTGAATACGGAATAGTACTTTTTGGTGATAGTTATGATATAATGCATATAATGTGAGAGTTTTTGCGGTGCTTCATTCACGGCCTTAGGTCATTTCATTTTTGCCATGAAGTCTCAAAAGAAAGGTGAGCCAATCAAGACCTGGACTAATATGGTCAGGAAAGATTTTGAACGTATAGGTGGAACAACAATATATGGACTTAGACGATGGAAAAAAGAAGTGGCTTCTATCACTGTCGACGATGGCGTCAGATCGCGCAGCTTGTAGTCGTCTTACCCTTGTAAGCAGTGGAATCAGCCTAATCAGTAATGGTGAAAGAAAAATTTCCTTTTGCCCTTAGGCTGGAGATCTTCGTTATTTTGGCCGATTAGCATATTAATTACATTTACTAATAAGCCAGTAACACTATGCGTACATTATACGTGATGTGAGAAGTATGATAGTATTGTTCACCATTAAGTCATTTGGGGACATCCATTTGGAGCTGGGTGCATCATTTGGGTTTTGGTCCATATTCCTTGTTATTCCTATTGAGATTAAAGCAGACGCCATATCGCAGTGAGGAAATTCTACGAAAACGAAAAGCAAACAATCAATAAGAGACAATTGGAACCGCTATCGCTCACGATCGGGACCATAGTTATAGTTCATCTCAGATAAATTTTAAAAAATTACGGAAAATTTTCAAAAGATTAAATCTGAAATTAGAAAATGCTATTTTGATGCCATATATAATTAAAAAATGGAACTCATTAATGTGAAGCAACTGCTTTCATCGCATTTACGAACTATTTTATGCTGCATTTGTGGCTTATGCTCAAAATTTATTTTTCAACAGATGTGATAGACAAAATTTTCGAATTCAGAATGAAAAAAAGTGTCGAAACCCTTAACAAACGAAAAAAGATCAATGAATTAAATTTGAAAACAGTTGTCATTTTTGGTGCTTTTCTTAAAATATTTCGTAGAGCACATAATAGCTGGGAAATACTCCATTTTTAAATAAAGGTGATAAAATGATTTAAGTTATCAGCGCTTATCGTTTCTGGTTAGACTCGCTGCGCTGGTTACTCATAATAATACATTACCATTGATTTACTTTAAAGATTTATTCAAAAAAATATAACTGGTTCACCATCATTTTTCGCTTGGATTTTTTAATGGCACGTGCATCCTTAAAGGACACTCTGAAATGGACTATTCTGGTAGTAGTAACTATACCAGCAATAGTGAGTGCTAGAAGATTTATTATGGGAACACATTGACTTAATGATTTGCGGCTGTTAGGAACAGATGAAACAATGGAAACCACCTCTCAACATATGAACGTAAAAATGAGCAATGGAAAATTTATCAATAAATTTGAAACAATCGAAAAAAAATTTTCTAAAAGAATTGCAAATATTTTCGGCAATATTTTTGCTTTTAATATATATATAGCTTTTCGTCGTTATTTTGAAAAACATGTTTTGCAAGAAAAATTTTAGGAAAGTTGGTTAATCTTTCTGAAATTACTTATCTAGTCGCTATTAGCATTTGTTAGGATTCGTGAAGTCATATAAGAGGTTAGCACTCGTGGAATTTTTTTTTCAGGCAACAGAGGCATGCACTCCACCAGCCACCAGCAGCACTCTTAGTATTGCTATCTAACCGAGTCAATATTAAGGCATAATAAAATTCAGGTAGCTCACACTTCATTATTATCTTCTATTCTTCTTATTCCGTCTTATTTTTATGACATTTTTTTGGTCTTTAAAAGTTTTATCCCCTTAGTATAGATATTACATCATAGAAGTTTAATTAATAAGTAGGATAATAATTTGTTAGCTCCATATTCTAGAGTACCTATGTCGTTGAGATATAGGTGTTGTTCTAAAGCACAGGTGATCTGACTGTTCCTGGGGAAGTCCGAGACTTTATAGGAAATATAAACAACCTTCATATTACGATTGCTGTATGGCAATTTATGATAATAATTTGGTTAATATATATATATATATATATATATATATATAATCAATATATATAATTTATTTAAAAAAATTAATATAAATATAGAGAATATGCATATATATATATATATATATATATATATATAAATTTTCACTTTTAATACAATAAATTATCGAAAAGTAATCCACATAGCCAAAAGCACTTGCGAGATTCTCAATAATTTTCAATAGCGTGAAGGCATAATTCTTAATGCAAAAATTTGAAGCAGCAGTACTAACATCACAATAACACAAAAGTAATAAAAGTAATAAAGTCGTGAATTAGAATAGAAAATTATTTTTGCCAGCATTAGTAAAAACAGCCAAGGAGGCTAAAAATTTTGCAAAGATTGATTTATTTATATTTCTCCGTGTACTGCAAGTCTTACTTTAGCATGTTTGAAGCCAAAGGGTAACGAAAACAATGAAAAAACACGATTGGTATGTAGTTAAGTGGTTAATGGTCTAAGCACAGATAAATCAGGCAAAGAAACTTGATAATTTCTCAGCGCTAATAGATTTTGACTGTACGAAAGCTCGGTTGCTTCAGATCTATATTTATAAGCTTCAGCTGTTTAAGCCTTAGCGCTTCGACTATACAATATTCGACTGTTTCAGCTTGCTAGAAATGTTGAAATATAAATGATATTATCCCCACCCAAAGTCAGATGCAAGAAATAAAGAAATCAGTTGATTATATTTAGCATTTTCACTCATTATAAAAGAAAATTGTAAAATCATGAATAGAAAATTCTTCGCAAGTAATTTCATGCAACGAACAATCGCAACTCTCTTTATTTTTTTATAATTGCACTGTCCCCAAGAAGAATTTATCATACTTTTTCATATTTATCAAAATTTATCATACGTAATTGGTTAAAATAAGGGAAACTTTCCAGACGATTGCTCATTGACCATTTTTCTTCTTCATTCATCATTGAATTTTTAGTTTGTCAACTTTTACTTACTTTTACTTGATTATAGAAGTAGCAGTTGGATTCTCACAGAATTTTATTTTTAATGATAACTGTTGACAAAAGATGGACAGAAGTATACTGCTATATAAAATGCGAAATGCAAAATAACCATAAAGTCTTAATCGGTACATATTTAAATTATTCCAACGGAAATGGGGTCATTTGCATTGCATACCTTAATAATTTTGGCACTATCGAAGAATTACCGAGTCTTCTTTTTTTTAAATCAAAGTTTTTGCAGCGTACGTTGGTTCATTTATAACGTTCTAATAAAATGGAATAAAGAAATTTATATTTGGAGAAAATATAACCCCACGCATGGAAAAATCAAGATTTAGAAACTTATATTAAAATTGGTACTCACTTAACACTCTTCAATCGCAAGCATACACCCCCTCAAACCTCGCCATATTCACTCAAAACTTTCGAACCCTACTACATTGCTTACACATCTGCCAATTTCAATTTCCTCACCATCCTCTCGTCTCTAAATATAAATATAATTATTTGTATTAAAATCTTTGTATATGGCTTAATTTTGTGCTTCTTTTTCAATTTGTTTCTTTTTTCTCCAAGTTTCCATATCGGCTTTTCCTTTTTTTTTATTAGAATTAAAATCTGAATTTTAAAAATTCTTTTGTGCAATTTTTATTTATTAAGTGTTTAATTAAATAATTAATAATAACGCCTATCTTAAAATATAAACAATTTTTTAAAACGATTGGCTTGATTTCATGATAAATGAATTAGTATTTAAAAAAATGTTGCGAATGACTTCGCCAGCTTTTTAGGTCTCATTAATTCATTATTTATAAAATTAATTAGTGCTTTTCTTGCTATATTTTATCAACCATTCTCTTATTGTTCCCATTTCTGGATGATATAAAATTTCTTATTGCCTATGCTTGTGCCTGGTATATTAATCATTCCGATAATTATGTCTTGAATAAAAATAAAAATATAGCTATAAAATATTTAAAGAAAAATAAGATTTGTCGTGAAAATGATTCGCAATCAGAATTTCAACGAAATGAGATTTTAATGTACAACCAAGACAATAGTTAAAAAAAGATTGAATTGAATATATTCTAAGATTTTTTCCAGTATACTTAATAGCAACAACATAAATTTTTATCTCTTTTCGTCCTATCGAAGAAGATAAATATTAAATCATGTTTTTGCAAAAATACCTATCAGATTTAGAGGTTCAACAATTCCCTAGAAATATCAGTTAAATCCCAAAACTAATTGATTGAAGGATAATAAATATGGTTTGAAAAAGCATGATTAGCGCTCATCATTTTTTTGGCTAGGCTAGTATTGACGACTATTAGAAATTTAATGGAAACTGCGGTTAAAAATTTTCAAATATTATTTTGCGATAGAAATACAAGGTGTGTCAGCAGCATCTGACGGAATATTTAATGAAACTATTTACAATGGTGATGGCGACGACCGAATCCTTGCCAACCCAATATTCACTCGACTATCTAAGAAAAATAAGCCGAAGTCGCGAATATTCTTCCATCAAATATTATTATATCGAATTAAAAATAGAAATAAGAATCTTTTTTTTTTCAAAAATGAAATATTGTATGGTTTGCTCAATCACCAAATTCCTATTCAGCTCAACCAGTTTCATATACATTCAAAGTTTTTAAAATTTTTTTCATTAAAACATGTTTGCTAAAAATTTTAAAGTGTTTGAAACGACTGAAGAGTTATTTTCTTAAAATCGATTCTCAAAATCGGTGTCTTTTTTGACTTCTTTAGTTTATAATCACCACTTCTGGTTAGGGCCACTGGCTATTACAGTTAGAAAGCTATTATAGTAAATTTTTGCCATAGGAGCCACTTGTGGCGACATCCAACTTTACGCGGTTTGCGGCTCAAACTAGCTATCTTGACCTTCACCGCTGTTTTCTGCCGGTTCCACCTACTACTGGCGACAACCCTTTGGCAGAAGGCGTCATGATAAGCTAAACCGTTATAAACTTTTCCATGCTTCATGGTAATTTAAATTATCCTCAAACGGTACTAACGACATTTTGTATTTCTAGGGAAATGTTTAGAACATCAGAACCAGAAAAATGTGCATATTACGCTTCTTTTTCAAAATTATTTCTTAATCGCTCTAGTCTTACAGGCTTAAGCCTAAACTTTTTCTATTCTATGCTAAAATGTTTTTATAATGGTACCAAAATCACTTAGATCGATATTTAAAAAAGTTTTTTTTTATTATTTCATTTTCTAAAAATAAAACTGTTACACTGAAACTACACTATTCATCGCTCGTGTTTAAGATAATTCACCTTGCGATTAAAAAATATTAGTACGATTAAAAATTTTGCCAGATATTATATATATATATAGACATAAAAAAATAAATGGGTCATCAGCATAAACCGGATTTTTTAATAGCAAATTTATTCCAATCAGGAGCCAAACTCTCGTTTCTCAATACGATAATCATTATCCACTGGGCTACCCCACTCCTTGTTCTGGTGCGAAGATTTTGGCCAAAAGATATCAAATTTCATCTTACTTCATGATTTGTTAAATCAAATTTAGTGAGTTATTTTATTTTAATGTATTCAGAAGAATTTCATTCGATTTTATGAAATATTGTAATTTTATAGGTATTTTGAAAATGACCGTAATTTCGCATATATTTCTTCCATCTCGCCCATCTCGCATCTATCTCACATCCTTTTTGGTTGTAGGCAGTATGACGATATTTAGTTGTTTGATGGTTGCTAGTATCCTTTTACGCGATATCAATATGTTACATGATGATTTCATGCGAGACATGGATGAGTTTAAGTTGTTAATGGCTGATAGTTGGAAAGAGATGTTAGCAATTCAGACCGCAATGCCTTATGCAAAATCCGTTCCCTCAACTTATAGGGAGAAACGTAATTCGCCTTGTACTAGAACAATTGGTTGCAAGTTGAAATGTCTACCTGGTCCACCTGGTCCACCAGGACAGCGTGGTAGAAAAGGTGGGAATGGTTTACCTGGCTTACCAGGTAAGCCTGGAAAGGATGGAGATCTGCTAGATTCAGATAAGAAACGATGTATACAATGTATTAGTGGCCCTCGCGGACCTCAAGGAATTGATGGAGCAGCTGGAATGCGCGGCTCTGATGGTCAACCAGGGAAACAAGGCTTACCAGGAAAAGATGGGATCATTGGCAAGCAAGGAGAACAAGGAGATTTGGGACCTACTGGTAACTTTTATCATCCTTCTTTACTAAAAAAGGAAAAATAAATAAAAGACAAAAAAATTAACCATACTCAGCACAAAAAAAATGCATGATAAAGATTGAATTTTTAAAAATTGGTAGCGCCCTGCATAGGCAGAATACATTGCAAGGTACGATAAGCATATGGGGTTAAACATGTAAGGAAATTTTCAAAAATATTTAAGATGAAGTTCATCAATCTACAGTAGATATCATATATTAGTAAAAAAATTGGAAGAATTTCAGTAATTCTGGCATACTCCTTAACATTTCCTCAAAGCTCATTATATATCCTTAACATTATATATATCCTCATTATATATCCTTTTCGAACTGTTATCTGCTAAATTTTTTTCAAACCATCTGTGTTTTCATAATCTAGCTTAACTGGCTCCCACTCTCTAAATCTGAATGATTTTACAAAGTGCAGTTGTTAACAAAATGTCAACGAAGTTTGACGAAATGCTGAGAGAACAGAAGGTTCAAATATGCTAGGAAGTCCCTTGCCGGTAAAAATACAGCATCACATGGATTTTTCGTCGGGAGTAGAACTTCAGCATCAGCTTTCCGCAGACGCGAGCAACAACCCACTGAGTTCTACTCCTGTTTTCTCCGTTAAGCCGCACTGTTGCCCAACGAAGAATGATGCATCAGCGGATTCGAATCCGAGCGTAGTAATTAACTTGCCACTTAACCACCGATGCAGTATACACCCATATACTAATAAATTATAAAGACTTATAGGTTATTTAGACAATAAAATAACTATTAAAACAATTGAAGAGGAAAGAGTAAACAGTATATCATTTTCACTGGATGGAATAAAAAATTGCATTTTATAGAGCAAAGTTTCAATGAAATTTAAGGAATGTTAAGAGACCACAAAGTGAAGTTTAAGTATTAAAGTGTGACAGATTTTAGAATAATTTGCTGCGACTGAGCTTTCCAGTGAATAAAATTTAAAAGCGTATATATATGCGATTTGCTAATTATTATTATTTTTAAAATCTCTCTAAAATGTGTCGAATATCCCACCATTTGTCCTTTTTTTTTAAATTTTATCATGAAAGGTGCAAAAAACTAATTGAAATTATTTATTTTTTTCACATTTTATAGCTTACTATTCATTTTATGATGTATATATATGTATATATATGTATATGATCTATGGAAGCCAAAAGGCACACCATTGGCCTAGGCACTAAATTACAATGCTTCTAATATCATTTAAAGAACGAATTTTTCAGTTAGAATTTTTTTTCAAATCTATCAATATTGACATTTTAATGCATAAATTTTAGGTCTACCGGGAAAGAAAGGATTGAGAGGAGTGCTTGGCGACAATGCAAAAAAGAACAAAAATGCTCGTGGAGGTAAAGGAATACAGGGAGTACCAGGACCTACTGGTGATCCTGGCGCAAATGGACCACCGGGATGGGCTGGAAAACAAGGATCACAGGGAACGATTGGAGCGAATGGACAACCAGGAAAAAAGGGTCGTGATGGAGTTGCTGGTTTTGCTGGCAATGAAGGTATCCCTGGAGTTGATGCTGCTTATTGCCAATGCCCAAAAAGAAACAAATTTCTCACTCATACAAGGAAACCCAGAAAGCTTCGGCTTGTCCTAACCTAAGTCACTGAATTAATAAAAAGTAACAGCTACTTTATTGAATTAAATAATCGCAAGTTTAACTTTTAAAAACTTTGAAACTTTGTTAAGAACATGAAATTTACAAATTTTCTTTCAAACTCGATACTATGGTGATAATAAAATTTCTTTTAAACATACTACCGATATATAGATTATATAAACTTCCTTTTTTCATAGATTAGCCATTAAATTTCTCTTCTTCTTCTTCTAACCACTTTTAAATATTTCTTCAAAATTTTGATGTTGCTTAAATTTAAAAAGTAAATTTCCATTCTGATTAAGTTAAAGGAAAATTTTATTCCTTTTATAAATGCATTATAAATAACGAAAATATGATTGTTTAGAGTCAAAAAATTAAATCGCCTTCAATTCGATTAAAAAAAGCAGTTATTCAGCGTTAAAACACTTATCTTTATCCAGATAAAATCGTCACCAAGATTAAATGAACTGTGGAGCAGTGAGCCTTTCGCAGAAAACTGTGGCACAGTTGAAAACTGTGGAGCAGTGAGCCTTTCGCAGAAAACCGTGGCACAGTTGAATTAACTTTTAAGAATATAAAGCAGTGGCATTGGAGGAATAATTACATAAATAATTACTATTTTCCCAAAAATGGTGGTTATTGAATCTTCCATCGTAATATATTAACAACGCAAATTCATGGCAAGTTGCGAATTAGTTTAGCCTTTTCATAATATACTCCAATAAATTAAAAATAAAATTTTGTTGAAAATTTGGCATATGAAAATTTGGTCCTATCATTGGTCTTCCTGAGTGGATTATTCTTGCAATTTAATACAATAAAAATTAAAGATTTAGCAGATTTAGCCAACGAGGAGAGCTCAATTTTTGTCTTTAATATATACATTTAAAATAAATTTAATGCATCTAAAACATTTGAATTCAGCCGAAACCAAATTTAAAGCACAAAGTAATAGTACGGATTTTTTTTTTAAGAGCACTTACCATTACTGATTAGACTTGTTCCGCTGGCTTGTCGGACTAGACAAATACGCTAGGAGGACCTTTAGCGATACAGGTGAGTCTCTCTCCCTTACTCGGATTTTTGGTCAGGTTTAGTGCAACTTGGAGTAGTAGTCGGCTCTAAATGTGCAACAACCCATTGAGCCATTCTACTCTCGTTTGCTTTTCTCCGTTAGGCGAAAGCGCTGTCCGAGAAGAGTGTTAGATGATTCGAACCCAAGCCTCGATTCTCAGTGGCTTTTAGCCATTAGCATAAATCACAAAAATATATTATAGGAGAGAAATATATAATTATAAGAGAAAGACAAATAAAAAAAAGATTTTTAAATGTAACAATATAAATAAATGAATAACGATTTTTAAAGTATAAAAAATGAACAATAAAAAAACAGTAAACAATGCGAAATATTTTCGGACATTTCATCGCGAAAAAAATTTTCACCATCAAATACTTCATCTATAACACATCTATCGAATACGCAAATCGACTGAAAATACATCGCCGAAGACTAAAACCATTCGAATTCCAATTATGATATGTGAAGATTATTTACACTAAAAATATATAAACTTAACGAAGTGCATGAAAGTGGAAGTGAGGAAGGTAGCGAAGTGGATGATGGCTTAGATTGTGTTGAGGAGAAAAGTTTTGGATTTTCGATTAGTTTTGGATCTCGCCGAGGAGAATGACCACGTAGACCCGCAAGCCACTTGTATGCCATTCCATAGCGAAAAATTCAAATTACATTTATGGCTAGCAAGTTTAACAAAAAATGGTGAATGCTAAGCACTTGACTGTTGACTGTTGAGGATAAAAATTATCGCTGACCATAGTTATACCCTCGGATAAAATATTGTTTTTATGTTGTAAATATGCAGACTTTTGCGAATTTCGATGAATAGATCAGAAATTTTCCGACTTAAATTTCAAAAGTCATTACATAATGAGTGAATAATTGGCTTTCGAAAAATGTTTAACGAAGACGAAACTGAGTCAGATTGGCTGTCATCATTGGCCACATTTGAATGCCATTACTGGTCATTCCAGCAACGTTTGCAGTCAGTCACGATGTGCACAAATATTGAATTATTTGGCAAATAATTTACGTTAAATATTGAGAGAAAGAAATAAAGAAGAAATCGCTGTCGACTTGGCGACCGCCAGCATATTACGTATTATAGAAAATTTCACGAAGAGCATTGTGCGATTTGTTGATAATATTGTTAGCAGTGAGGTAAATATTATGTTTATTTAATTTTAATCTTTAATCCATCATTAACATTGGAGATTTTATATGGTACTTCGTTTCCTTACTATTCTGCTTCGGCTAGTTCCACTGGCCGAGAATGAGAGATGTTTTTGAAGAAAATGTGGGTCGGCTCACTCCACTAGGATTTCATTTTTGATGGAAATTTCAGTAAAGGACAATAACCAGACTCATGGTAAATTTTGATTCTGTTGTAAATGCTTGTGCATAAACTCATTTCTAAATGGAGCCTCAAAATTTATAATGCTTTATTCAGAATTGCTTGAAATAAATGCCTTATAATGTCGAAATTTTTTGATAATTTAAAATTTTTGAAACCATTTCTCCATTGGAATTGCTTGAAATGTTAATTGCATGTGGAAAATTGGCAAAAAACCTCAAATTTTTTTTCAAATTTTGTCATATTATAAATATATTATTAGTTGATTACGCGACTATCTGCCTTTAAATTATCAAATTATGTTCATTAGGAGAATGAGATCGAATAGATTCTACTTTATCCCCTCCCTCCACCAATGACCCCGTCAAAGAAACTTTCAAGAGAGAAATATGTAGAATCTATTTATAAATCTGTGGAATCTATATCTAAAAATCTAAAAACTTTTCCAAAAATTTCAGGTTTTCTTGAAATTCCTTGAAGTTCAATGAATGAAGAAATGTTGTAAAGCAATTTGTTCCTTGATAAATGCAATCGTTTGGTTGGTAAAAAAATTTGGCTAATTGGTTATCTTTAGATAAAACCAATCTCCAAACGCAAATGACCTTCATTCACGTTTCGGATTCTATGCCATTCCCATTCATGTGAATGCATTGAATAACAATGGCGTTCCCTCCATTTTTTTTCGGCATTTTATAAATATACTTTGTCATTTGTTGGTGGCTGTTCGCTATTTTTCTCCTGTTTTTGCCATTTCTTTTTTTTACTATCTATTATATTAGTTATGATATTTTATTATTAAGAAACACTGACAGCTGAGTAGATTATCCATTCAGGAAGAAGCGATCTTGCGGGTCCCCACTCCCCGACGTGAATAAGACTGCCATTAAGAAATCCGCGTACTGCTAGTGTTCCTCCTGCACTTCTTTCGCTAATTGTCCTCATGCCAAAGGTTTCGAAATGTGCGAGGTAGAGGTGTGTTGTCAGCGGAGCTAGCAAAAAACGGTGAGCGATAGTCATTAACTTTTTTCATTCTAAGAAAGGTCATCCGTAGAGAATTAGAGAATTTATGTTTTTTCTTTCGCTTTATCCCCTTTTTCGTCCCTTTGTTTTGTAGATTTAATGTCATTTCGACTCATCGATTTTTGTGAAATTATAAGTCTTAAAAAATTTTTCGTTATCGAATATAGGGACAGCGAGAGTTGCTGCTGAGGTTAATATTTCCAGCATTTTGACCCTCTTCTTCGGACTGTTATTCCCAGTGATGTTAGAGACCCACTTATATCCCCGAATGACTACTCCCCTCCTGTAAAAATTTTCTCCTCATAATGACCGGCAGTGAACCAAGCTAGAAAACATTGTCGACCACTTACTTGCTATTTAATACAACTTTTTCTTGCTCTTTGCAACGATTTCTTTTAGACGATTTTTTTGGCTCTATTTTTTTGTGCTGATAATTGGCATGATTTGGCTCCCTTTGGCCATTAGATTAAATAAGATCTTGGTTTTATATAAATTTTGGTTTGGATTTCGGAAATCATTTTTTGCATTATTCTTTTTATAATTTCTGGATGTATATGTTGCGGATATTCTTAACATTTTCGCGATTTACACTTTAGGTGTTTTGAAATTTTGAGAATTTTGCGAATTTTTATCTTTCATTTCCTTATCATTTCATCATTTTTATATAAAATTTATCGAAATATTTTTCATCAGAAAAAAAATTTATCATGGTTCAAACAAAATTTTCGATAAAATCATGGAAAATAGACAATGTCGCAAAATAGTTGTTAATTAAGGAAACGTCAAATATTCGATGAGAAGAATCGGCAGTATTTAATATCGGCAATATTAAATATTTTAATATTTCTTTAATATTTTTTGAAAAAATTTGAGGAGAAAATTTATATTTTTACAATTATTTTCATTTATATCGCAAAATTTGTGCCTTCGATGATCTCAGTTAGGCGATCGTATTAAACCTATTCTATTCTTTTAATATAGTTCTGTTCAGAAAAAAAGAACAATTGTTCAAAAAATATACTGCTTCTTCAACAGTTTCACTTTTATGTCGACAATCAATTATATATGGTTTAAAACGGTGATTTATTATTTATTCTTAAGCGAACACCAAATTTTCCAATTTTTAAATTAATGGCTTTTGGATTTACATTATCTCTAATAGCTATATTGAAAATTGAATTTCTACTTAAATCCATCTTCTGTGGTGAATATGAACTTCTCTAGATTAAAAGTGGAAGCCATCTGAGAGAATCCTGAATTCTTGCCTATCATTGCAATAAACTACTACCTTCTCGGGGGCCTTGCGCCTCCTTCCCTCCTTCCTTCCCTCCCCCTTCCTCCGGTCAACTGCTTTCAAAAATATTTTACCATTCTTTATTTGTTTTCCATTTGTTGACCACAATGCAATGGTGATGACAAATACTTTAATACAGATTGGAGAATCGAGTGGCATGTTACTTTCACAAAAATCTATTGTTTGTTCGATTCCTTTCTTTTGACGGAAGTAAGCCCATCATTAAAAGTGAGATCCTGAAGACTCACTGATACTTTCC